TAAACTAATGACCTAGCTTAAGAGTTGGTTAGAAGTACCTTAAACTCTAATAAGTTTAAGAGTTGGATAAAAGTACATTAAAACTAGAATTAGTTTAAGAGTTGGATATAGGTACCTTGAACTAGAACTAGTTTAAGAGTTGGTAAACATTAAAAAGATTGCCCTTAGACTAAGAATAGTTTAAGGATATTATTGAATGAGGATGTTGAATGTTGAATATGAATATTGAATGACGAATGTTGAATATTGATTATTGTATATTTGAACTGAATACTTTGTGCATGATATCAAATGATTTGATTATGAATTTGGGTTCAATTTATATGGATGTTCGACGCTTTAGATATGCTTACTCAGCTTCACCGCTGAGCGTGTAGTATGTTTTATTTGCTACACGCAGGTTAATAGAAAGAATGATGTGATGTGATTCTGGAGGCAGACGGAGGCGAGATTGTCGGAATGGATGTGATGGTTTTGAATTAAAGAACATAAATAAATTATGTTTGTAATTATGATTTGTTAAGCTTCCGCAATATTGAAAACTCCGCACTGTATATGTTATGAAAAATATTATCGTGATAAATAAAAGTGTTTGAAAAGTTTTAAATTTTACGATTACCAACTTAATACTTTAGTCCAAAAGGGGCTGCAGACCTGGAAGGATTAGGGTGTTACAAAGGCCCCGGCCCGTACTTACGCGATGCGAGGGCGTACCGAGCAGCCTGCCCCGGCCCGTACTTACAGCTTTGATTGATCCAGGTTCCACTTTATCATATGTTTGTATGCCTATGCCTGTTATGCCTAACCTTCCGAGGGAAAATTTAGACAATCCGGTATTGGTGTCCAACCCATTGGGACACAGTCTACGACTCACCCATGTGTATCACGATTGCCCATTAGTGGTCCAGGGAAAGATTTTCCCTGCGAGTCTCATTGAGCTTCCCCATCGTGAGTTTGACGTTATTCTAGGCATGGATTGGCTCACCGCCAACCAAGCCGTTGTTGACTGTGGAGTTCATACTTTTCGACTGAGAGCCGAAGACGGTAGTGACATACTGATCCATGGTGAGCTTCTTCCGAAAGCTCCAGAATTCATTTCCTACATACATGCTCGTCGACTCATTCGCAAGAAGTGTGAAGCATTCTTGTGCACAGTGCGTGACACTTGTCAGGAGGCGCCTGGTAGGGGGGACATCCCTACGGTATGTGACTTTCCTGATGTGTTTCCAGATGACTTACCTGGTCTACCACCCCCTAGGGAGGTAGAGTTTTCCATTGATCTTGTTCCAGGAACAGGACCGATCTCGATCACACCTTATCGCATGGCGCCTGCGGAGATGAAGGAGCTGAAGGCTCAACTGCAGGAGTTGCTGGATAAGGGCTTCATCCGACCTAGTGTGTCTCCTTGGGGAGCACCGGTTCTGTTCGTCCGCAAGAAGGACGGATCAATGCGGTTGTGCATTGATTACCGTCAGTTAAACAAAGTTACCATCAAGAATCGCTATCCGTTACCCCGCACCGACGATTTGTTTGACCAGTTGAGAGGAGCCACAGTCTTCTCTAAGATCGATCTCTGATCAGGGTACCATCAGATTCCCGTCAAGAAGGAGGACATTCCTAAGACGGCTTTCCGCTCGAGATACGGTCATTACGAGTTCACAGTCATGCCCTTTGGTTTGACTAACACACCAGCAGTGTTCATGGATCTGATGAATAGTGTGTTCTGGAAACATTTTGATCAGTTTGTTGTGGTCTTCATTGATGACATCTTGGTGTACTCCAAGACACAGGAGGAGCATGCCGAGCATCTGCGTATCGTTTTGAGCATTCTTCGGGAACATCAGCTTTATGCCAAGCTGTCCAAGTGCGAGTTCTGGTTGCACGAGGTTACCTTCCTCGGCCATGTCATCTCGGCTGACGGTGTGAAGGTAGACCCGTGCAAGATAGCGGCGGTCACGGAGTGTAAGACTCCGCGGAATGCACGTGAGGTGAGGAGTTTTCTCGGACTGGCGGGTTACTATCGCCGGTTCGTGAAGGACTTCTCCAAAATAGCATCGCCACTACTCAAGCTGATGAGGAAGGACATCAGGTTCATTTGGACTGACGCTTGTCAGCAGAGTTTCGAGCGACTGAAGAAGTGTCTGACCCAGGAAACAGTTCTAGTCCAGCCCACTCCAGGAGTGGAGTATACGGTTTTCAGCGACGCGTCCCATAACGGCTTGGGGTGTGTTCTCATGCAGGAGGGCAAGGTCGTTGCTTATGCGTCTCGGCAGTTGAAGCCACATGAGTGTAATTACCCGACGCACGACCTTGAGTTAGCAGCTATTGTACTTGCTTTGAAGATCTGGAGGCATTACCTCTACGGTGAGACGACCATAAGAGTCTTCAGTACCTGTTGACGCAGAAGGATCTGAATCTCCGACAGAGGAGGTGGTTAGAGTTGATTAAGGACTATCACTGTCACATCGCTTACCACCCAGGTAAGGCGAATGTGGTAGCCGATGCCCTTAGTCGTAAGACTCTAGCTGTGCTACACGTCCAGCCTACATTACAGCAGCAGATAGCCTCAGCCCAGAGCAGTGATGATTTCTGTATCGAGACCGTTGGGCTCGTCTCTCGAGGAGAGAAGCCGGATTTTACAGTTCGAGATGGTATCTTGTACTATCAGGAGCGTATGGTTGTGCCAGCGGGGGAGGTGAGAGAATGCCTGCTTCGTGAAAAACACAGCACTGTGTATACCATGCACCCGGGTAGTAACAAGATGTTCCAGGACCTTAGGAGACATTACTGATGGCTCGCGATGAAGCGGGAGATCACTGAATTCACGTCGCGGTGTTTGACTTGTCAGCAGGTCAAGGCCGAGCACCAGGTGCCTTCAGGATTGCTTCAGCAGATCACCATTCCCGAGTGGAAGTGGGATCGCATTACGATGGATTTCGTCGTGGGACTGCCATTGTCACCACGTAAGCACGACACAGTTTGGGTCATCGTTGATCTGTTGACCAAGTCAGCACATTTTCTCCCCATTCGTCGTGACTTCTCACTCGAGCGATTAGCGGAGTTATACATCCGCGAGATCATCAGGCTACATGGAGTACCGTCATCTATCATTTCGGGTCGTGACCCTCGATTCACATCACAGTTTTCGAAGAGTCTACAAAGGGCATTGGGCTCCGATCTCCACTTTAGTACGGCGTTCCACCCTCAGACAGACGGTCAGTCGGAGAGGGTGATTCAGATTCTCGAGGATATGATGCGTGCGTGTGCAATCGACTTCGGGGATTGTTGGGAGCGATACCTGCCACTCATGGAGTTTGCATACAACAACAGTCACCAGGCTAGCATTGGTATGGCACCGTATGAGGCTCTGTACGGTAGACCCTGTCGTACTCCTACCTGCTGGACAGAGCTCAGCGAGAGGAGGTTGGAAGGTCCAGATTTGGTTCGTGAGACCGAGGAGAAGGTCCAGGTGATTAAAGACCGACTTAAGGTGGCTTCGGACCGGCAGAAGTCCTACGCCGACCTTAAGAGGCGTGACATCGAGTATGCAGTTGGGGATAAGGTTTTCCTAAAGGTATCTCCTTGGAAGAGCGTCTTACGCTTCGGAAAGAAGGGAAAATTGAGCCCGAGGTTCATAGGCCCGTACCCAGTCACCGAGCGGGTAGGACCTGTAGCTTACAGGCTCGAGTTACCATCGGAGTTGAGCAAGATCCACAATGTATTCCACGTGTCCATGCTCCGGAGGTACCGGTCGGACCCTTCTCATGTGATTCCAGCTGATACGGTCACACTTGATGAGAATCTTACGTGCGAGGAGGAGCCGGTTGAGATTCTTGCTCGTGAGGTCCGCCAGTTGAGAAACAAAACCATTCCGCTGGTCAAGGTTCTGTGGAGAAGTCACACCGTCGAGGAGTCGACATGGGAAACAGAGGAATCCATGCGTGCTCGTTATCCACATCTTTTCAGTGACCAGTGATCAGGTAAATTTCGAGGACAAAATTTTCTTAAGGGGTGGATAATTGTAACGCCCTGCAACCCGGTCTAATAGAATTGATTAATTAAATTAATTAATTACTATTCCGGATCGAAGTTGGAAAATTCAAAAGTTCTTAGAAAAATTATTTGATCATATCATTAAATTCATCTTGACAGTCTAATTCCAGAAACGCAAACGGATCTCAATTCGGACCCGTTCAGGGGGGAAAGCGCGTACCGTTCAGGTCAGATTTTACACTATGGAGTAGGATAAGTATTTGTAACCCCCACCCAATTCTCACATTACTCACTCTCACACACATTCATGACCCATTAAGTCTCCATCATTTCCCTCATAATTGGTTTCAATTAAAAAACCCCAACCCATTCCTTTCCTCCACCATTTTTGTAACCTCCCATAGTCATCATCACCATCCACCTTCCTCTCCCCTTTGTTTGGCCAGACCAGCAGCAAGGAGGATCTCCGGTGAAGTTCCGGCGGGTGCAAGGTTGAAGGGGAAGAAGGGCTAGGCCGTTCGTGCGAAGCGTAGTCGTCGTTTGTCCGTTCGTTGGTTCCTTGCTAACCGTTTGTTCATCTCGTCTCATAATTTCGTCAACCCCTTCGTTTAGAGGTGAGTAGTTGTACCTCTAACTCTAGAACATTTAGTTATAATCTATGTCGTTGTATTCATGGAAATATCGTACGCAACCTACGTTGAATCTACGCATGTTCGTATTCAACTTATGTGAGCCCATGTTATTAAGTTATGTACTCGTTAACATAAATGTTTTGGAACCTTGTAAATTCATCGACTACTTAGCGTGGAAAATGAAAACATTCGATTTTAAAAAAACTTCCAACGTTTGATGGCTACAAACAAATAAAATGGAAATCAGCGTGCCTTGATAATCGAGTTACAGGATAGTATAATCAATTATCAGGCCACGCCGAACTCCTCAGTTGGTTCAGCACAGCGTGACAATCGATTATCCCATATGTGATAATCGACTATCAGGCTCTGCGGATTCTTGGGTCTGGGTTGGCTTCAATGATAATCGATTACCACACAGACAAATCGATTATCAGGTCTCTCTTAACTTAGGACTTTCCAGATAAACCAACTTGACAATCGATTGTCATAGGGTGACAATCGATTATCACGGTCTGTAGGACTTTGGGGACAGAAGCTGCACAGCATGATAATCGATTATCAACAGCAGATAATCGATTATCAGCCAGTTTCGAACCCAGGGCCATCATGTTGAACAAATCGTAATCTAACACATATGTATGAATTGAATTTAACTTTGTTCTTTAATCAAAACATTCATTCCAACATGTTCGTTCTAGACGGATGTTCTAGGTTTTCATCATGTGCATACCGCTGTAGGGAGGACTTCATGCGCCTACTACAGTGGGCCCGTCCAGGAACCTTTGGGGACCAATGGGTTTTCATCATGTTGGGCTTGTGTACGTACATAGTAGTCAGGTTACGGATACTACCAGGTTTTCCTAGTCCACTCGCGATGTTTTCGTCGTGCCCAGCTCGTTACCATTCGGGGACGATGACCGGAGTGCAGGGGTGATCCTGTCGAGTGAGACTAAGCCAGGGGTGTCCCTGATAGCTTAAGTCATGCATCAAGTCATATCATCATCATTATGTACCTCGTTATTCAAAATAGCTTTAACAGGTGAAAACTAAACAGCTAGTAACGTGTGGTTTTTCGTACGTTAAGTACAGGTATTGACATGGGTGTAGCCATATGGGTTATCGCTTCATGTTCTTTTGTTAGATTCACTCCTCAGCTTTTGCTGAGCGTGTAGTTGTTTTTGCTACACGCAGGTAGGCATGACGGAGCAGGTGCCAACCCTGGAGAGGGTGACGATGGGGAGATGGGCGGCGCATGGACGGACTCTTAATTACTTTCAATAACTTCATTAATCGATTGGGCATGAACCCACCCTTTTCGTTATTTAATTTGGACTGAACTTATTTAATTACTTCCGCAATTACTCTGCACTTTTATTACACACGTTTTGGGAGTAACTCCCTGGCATTTATTCCTCTAATTAAAACCCAACCGTTTTCTTACTAAATAATCATTAATGTTTCCGTAACGGATTGTTCTCAAACTATCCATGTAATCCTACCGGTCCGTTGGGTCGCGGGTGATTCGGGTCCACGGAAGGCGGGTGTTACAGCCGGAATCGCCACCCCAAGAGATCTAAGCCCTTTTCTTCTTGAAGCCGGGCTTATCCTTGCCGTGTTTCACTTTTGGACAACTTGGCTTGATGTGACCAATCTCGCCACAGCCGTAGCACTTGGGAGGACCGTCGTGCTTTCTTTCCTTCTGCTCAAATTCCTTCTTCATGAACTTGTGGAACTTCTTGATGACAAGTCCAAATTCGTTGTCATCATCGCTTGAAACCTCCTCTACGGTCTCCTTGGTTGCTTTGAGCGCTATTCCTTTCTTCTTTTGTTCATCCAAAGACGGGGTTAGAATAGTAGATTCATAAGTTTTGAGGTTACCTCTTAGCCCGTCGATGGTGACAATGGAGACTCCGATGGACTCGTAGATTGCATCGGCTTTTGACATCCATTCGGGTGTGAGACTCCGTAGGATTTTCCTCACGAGATCCTTTTTGGCGTAAGTCTTTTTGAGAGCATGAAGGTCGTTGATGTCTTTTGAGAACCGGTCGAACATGACATCGATTTTCTCACCTTCTTTCATTCGGAACATTTCGTACTCTTGAGTGAGAAAATCGATCTTGGCTTCACGAACTTGATCAGTACCTTCGTACGTCACTTCAAGCTTATCCCACATCTCCTTGGCGGTTGTGCAGCAAGAGATTTTCCGGTAGTCATCGGGGTTGACCGCACAATATAACATATTGATGGCCTTTGCATAATTCTCAATCTTCTTGATGTCCTCGGCATCAAACTCATCTTCGGTCTTGGGAATCAACTTATCGTCAACTTTCTTCATCGGGATTTCCTCTCCGTTTTTGATGACCAACCATAATTGGAAGTTGGTGGAACGGATATAGATTCTCATCCGTTCCTTCCAATAGGAATACTTGCTGCCGTCAAAGAGTGGTGGCCTAGAAGTTGATTGACTTTCTCCAATTCCTGCATAGAGATTTCTAGAAGAAGAACCCATGATCGCTTTACTCTCAAACGATTAAGTTTGGACGCCAGTTAGGCTCCGATACCAATTGTTAAAATAATAGACCAACGCTAGAGGGGGGGTGAATAGCGTTTGATCAAGAAATCGCAGGAATAAAAATGAATAAACGAGAAGTAAAGAGGAAATAAAGAGGCACACCGATTTTACCCAGGTTCACCACAACTTGTGGCTAATCCAGCCTCCCGAGAGACTCTCTCGAGCTACACTACTATCTCGTTAAGCTTAACGGTGCTTAACAAACCCGTACAACTTGAGAATTCGAGTCACACGAACCTCAACGAACCTACGAAGGAAACAATCCTTCCTTCGAACAACAAGAGAAATACTTTCTCTTGTCAAGTGTCTAAGAACACTAAAAACACTCAAGAACAATACTCTCTTTTAGAGTGGATAATTGAGTAACTAAGAACGCTCAAGAACACAACACAAGCTTCACAAAAATGGCTTCTCAAAAAGCTATGAATAAAGGATGAATGATTTGCAATGAAGGAGTAGAGATTGTGAAGTAATGTGATGTATAAAACAGACCCAAACACCCCATTTTATAGTGGAAAAATAGGCNAGACAGCGCTGTCCTAGGCTTGGACATCGCTGTTCTAGGCTTGCGTTTTGAAAATTGGGAAGCAACGGTCATGCCAACAGCGATGTCCAATACTCCTACATCGCTGTTTTGGCTGTTGACTTCCAAACAAGGAAAGTTTTAGCCTTAAATTCCTTCCAACGGTCAGGTCCCTACATCGATGTTCAATACTTGAACATCGCTGTTTAGGTCTGACTTTGAAGGTGGAGTTTTTGGCCTGACAGCACTGTTGCTGGGTCAACATCGCTGTCCAAAAACTTTCTGCCAATGCACTATATTTTTGGCTTAGGTTGGACAGCGCTGTAGGGAAGGCTACATCGCTGTTCCAAATGTTTCTGGAAACCCAACCTTGGCTCAACAGCGATGTCTAATATGCAACATCGTTGTTGGAAGACTTAACGCCAAACCATGGTTTTCAGCTACTCAAGCCAAACAGCGCTGTAGGTAGCACCAACATCGCTGTTGGGCTGGTTTAGCCAGACCCATGGTTGGTTTAGTCAGCCGTTAGCCGATGTCAAAAAAGTAAGTTCTCCAAAAATAAAAACCGAGTATTGAAAATGTTTGTTTAATGCATTTTGCTAAGAAATCAATTAAAACATTTTGAATACCACATCATTTAGTTGAAAACCACGGCTAGCCAAGTTTACGCCGTTTTGCATGGTTTTCACTAAACGACCAAAAACGAAAGGTGGTTTTTGAAGCGTTTTTGTTGGAGAACTATTTAAATATGCCCAGAAGTAAAAAAAATCATAAAAAGGTGAAAACCACTTGGTTGGTTCGGATGCCAAAAACCAATGCCGAAAACCGAAAACCGAAAGCCGAACGCCGGTTTCTGAAAGCCGACGCCGGATGACTTAGTTTTTGGTTTGGGCGAACTCCAAGTGTTTTTAGCCATGTTTAAAAACTTATGAAAAACGTTTTTGAATTTGCAAAAATGGTTTTGATGAATTGAGCCTAGAGAGCCAAGTTTTGGAAGTGTGTGCCGGTCTTGATCACATTAGGACCGACTCAATGCAATTCTAATTCTTTGTTCTTGATTCTTGCTTCTTGGTTCTCATGTCATCATGCCATGTTTCTTCGCCTTGGTTTTTGCTCACTTTAGCCTTGTTGTGTCACGGCGGTTCGGCATTATCAAAACCTGTCATAAAACGAACACGGTTTAGTACGACATAGGCGTAAACCCGTGTTACAACAAGAAGAGCCTAAGAGACTTTTTCAAGAAGTTTAGAATGATGACCACCTAGAAGAAATAATAATCCTAGGTATAACAAAATTAATTTTAGAAAGAATAAACGTAACAAGGTGAGACAACCTAGAATTGACTCTAGGATTTTTACAAATGATAGAAATATTTTGAGACAACCTAGAAATGAGTCTAGGAATTTAGTTAATAATTCTAGGAATGATGATTTTAGATCACCTAGAATGTTTAAGGCTCAACCTAGGCATATGCATGATCCAAACCTAGGCATATGCATGATCCAAACGTAGTATGCCATTATTGTTTCTAAGATAGGACACATAGCTCCCGTTTGTTTTGCTAAACATAGGGACACTTCTTATAATTATGATTATGATGTTTATTTGCCTAAACCCCAAGGACCCAAAAGCTATTGGGTACCTAAACGTTATTACTAAATGCACGAAAGGGTGTGCTTGAAGACTACAAACTTGTAGTGGATGCTCCAAGCACGAAACCCAATGAACCGCATCAAGGGGGAAGCTCGTTTTACGTTACTAAATTGTTGACAATTGATTTTCCAGGACATTTTCAAACATCGATGTTCAGTATCAAACATCAATGTTCAAGGAGTATATTTTTACAATTTTTTAAGTGCTTTTTGCTAATGTCAAAAGGGGGAAGATATAAAGGTTATGCATAAATTGAGGGGGAACTTTCTGCAAAACTTTTTTAAGGAAAGATTATTTAACAATATAAAAATTAACTCTTGTTCAAAGCATAAACCCTGTTGCATTTATTAAGGGGAAACATATTTCAAAAGTCTCAATATTTTTAAAGTCTCAAAACGATCCTCTTATGCATAACCCCGTCTTGTTTGCCATTATCAAAAAGGGGGAAATTGTTGAAACATGGGTTTACTACTTTATCGTACTAAAGCCATGTTCGTTTTTATGACAGGTTTTGATAATGCCAAACCGCTGTGATCAAGACAAAGTGTTGAATATACAAGGCGAGAAACGAAGATAAGAACAAGAGCTAAAAGAAGACCAAGAATGAAGACTGTAGTTTTAGTGTCGTTGAGTCGGTCACAAATGTGATCAAGACCGACCCAAACCTCACACCTTGGCTCTTTAGGCTAAAACGTTTTTATTGCATTTCACATATCATAAAAATGTTTTTCAAACATGTTTAACACATTAAAAACACTTGGTGTTCGCCCAAACCAAAAACCAAGCCATCCGACATTTGGCTTTCAGAAACCAGCATTCGGTTCTTAGAAACCGACATTCAGCATTCAGTTATCGGCTTTGGTTTTTGGCGTCCGAACCAACTAATTGGTTTTCAAAATTTTATGATTGTTTTTTACTTTTGGGCACTTTTAAATAGTTCTCCAACAAAAACACTTCAAAAACCACCTCTCGTTTTTGGTCGTTTGGCAAAAACCATGCGAAATGGCATAAACTTGGCTAGCCGTGGTTTTTACCTTAATGAAGTGGTTTTTAAGTTTTTATACTTGTTTTCTACATAAAATACATTAAATAAATGTTTTAAACACTTAGTGTTTACTTTGGAGAACTTTGCATTTTTTGGTCGGGTTTTAGCACTGGTTGGCTAGGCCATGGTTTTGGACTAGCCATCTACCCAGCGATGGTAGATATCACCCATCCATGGGTAAGTGATCCCGGGATTCCAGAACCATGCTACCCCGCGATGGGAGATATTACCCATCCATGGGTAAGTGATCCTGGATTCCAGAACTATGCCACCCAGTGATGGGAGATATTACCAAGCCATGGGTAAGTGACTTCCCAGCGATGGGAGATATTACCCATCCATGGGAAGGCATGACCGTTGTAAGGCAGTTAAGGCTGATTATTTCCTTGTTTGAAAGTCAACCTCCCACCCAGCGATGGGAAGTGTTTACCCATCGATGGGTAGGTGACCGTTGCCTTCGAAATTGAAGGAAAATTGGCTTACCAGCGATGGGTAGCGCCATACATCGCTGGGAAAGCCAATCTCCTGCAGATCCATGTTTTAATATCAATCCCACAAATCATGCTAATCACCCCTTTAATGCCTTGATCCGTTGGAGCCTATTTTGGCACTATGAGAAGGGGTGTTTGGGTCTGCTTTACCAAGGAATTCACTTCACATTATTCATATTATCATTGCATTCAAAAAACATCGTTTTCCATAGCTTTCTAGAGCCAATTTGTGTGAAGTTTGAGTTGTTCTTGAGCGTATATTTTACTCAACATGTACTCTTATAGAGAGTTGGTGGTCCCAAAGTGATGAGATACAAAGTCTAAAGGGGGGGTGAATAGACTTTGTTACAAATGTAAAACCTTTTTTTTCTTTTGAAAACGTGAAAATGAATGCTAATCTAAAGTTCTTGTGAACTTAGATTGAGTGCGGAAGTTGGTGGGTTATTGGAGCAGTAATTAATATGGATGGGTTAGTTTCACAGTTAATGTAAGTGCAAGTATAAGTAGAGATAAAAGAGAAAGACACGCAAACTTTAACGAGGTTCGAAGGTGGGGTAATCCTTCTGCGTCCTCAAAATCTACTATGTAGTTGGTCGTTGAATAATGAACCAACAATTACACTTGTGTGAATTTCTGCATGGTATATCTTTGCAAGGCCAATGTTGCTACTGCACTCGTGCTGGCTTTGTTGTTCCTTCGACAACAACTGCAAGATCTGAACAACAGGACAACGCTTCTTCTCGGAGTTTTTATTCTGAGAAAATTTATAAATATTCTCGTGCCTCACTATTCACCCCCCTCTAGTGAAGGGCACTTATTCTAACAGAAACTCCTCAGCACCATTATCTTTCAAAGTTTTGAAAGTGATCAAACGAGGTGGTGGTGGAGGTGGTTGAAACATGGGGGCATTGGTCATTTGTTGCAAGAAGTTTACCATTAAGGTAGGTAGCATAGCATCAGGTTGTCCGCTAATATTTTGATCATTTTGGTAAACATTCTCTTGCCCATTGTTTGGCACTTGGTTAGTTTGATCGTGAACAGTTTCTTGACTCATTCTACAATAACAGAAATTCCTTCATTAGGATTCTTGACTTGCATGGACGAGTTGACAACTGATATTTATTCTATCATACTACATCGATGTTTATTCAACAAGATTGAGCTATTTATAGCTTCTAACAATTAGGTTCTTTGACCGAGAAAGTTGTCAGTTTGTAGCAAAGGATAGCGACTCTTTATTGTCAGTTCGTTCGAATTTCTTAACAGGGATTTGATCGTATCTTGACCGTAAGTCAATCTTAGAGAACACAATGGATCCTCTAAGCTGATCAAATAAGTCATCGATACGAGGTAAAGGATGACAATTTTTGGTAGTTGATACAGAGTCTCATCAATCTATCCTTATTTGTGAATTCTTTCTAGATGAACTCGATCGATTTAGTAATCAGCTTTTCTTCCACCTCTATGAGGTTACCATTATTGGTATCCAGTTAAAGAGTTGTCAACAGCAATGTTATTTAGTCAGTCGATTCATACTCAGGATAACGTCAAATTCCTTGTATGGTATTTCAATGAGGTTTTGCAAGGAATTGTTGCTTTAACGAACGATTTCGATTAACAAGATATAACGGAACGAAAATACTTTAGATAACATAGTTTATCGATTCTAAACGTTCGTGTTTGAATCAGCAATCCGATCTTGTTGAGTCCACTTGAGGATCTCCAGCACCGGGTTCACAAATGTTGTTCGTAAAATCAACCTTAATCGTTTCTTCAGAGCCGTCTTACTCCCACACGACTTTGTAAGGCAGATTAGTTTCGTCATTCGCGATGCGATAAGTACGCTGATAACGTATAAGGGAGTCAAAAAAAATTTCTTTCGTCTCTTCACCGAGTACAAAAAACTTACTTGAGTCTATGCTCGATATAATTTCAATACTAACAATTGTTCTGTAATGAGAATTCTAACAGAGTCAATATTTTTCAAGTAATTTCTCATACCTTTCCTGGAGTAGAGGGATGCGAGAGTCGTGGATGTGACTGACACATTTTTTTAAATTCAAATTTTTGATCCGAAGATCGGTTTTAAAATCATTTGCTCCGATATCAAATTGTAACACCTTAATCCGTCCAGGTCTGCAGCCCCTTTCGGACTAAAGTATTTAACTTGGAAATCGTAAAAATTTAAAACTTTTCAAACACACTTTATTAATCCTAATAATATTTTTCACAACATATACAGTACGGAGTATTCAACAATATTGCGGAAGTAAATTTAATATTGACATATCATAAATCATTTCAAACTTGTCACATCCATCCCGACAATCTCGCCCCATCTGCCACCAGGATCACGTTGTTCTTTCTGTTTACCTGCGTGTAGCAAATAAAACACACTACACACTCAACGGTAAAGCTGAGTAAGCATATCTAATTTTTCGAACATCCATATAAACTAAATCTAAATTCGTAATCATATCATTTGATATCATGCACACAATGTTCATTTCAGACATTCACATTTTTGATATTATTCAGTTCATATCAACACATTTTATTCAATTCAGATATTATTCCAACAGCGCCTTTAAATTATTCTTAAACAAAGGCCAAATAATAACAATGCTCTTAGCTATTCTTAGTCTAAGGCCAAATCATAACAATGCTCTTAGCTATTCTTAGTCTAAGGCCAGATCATAACAATGCTCTTAGCTATTCTTAGTAAGACAATTATTAATCAGACACTTAAACTATCATTAGTTTAAGGCAATTGATTTCGGACACTTAACTGTAGTCAGTTAAGGCAATCAGACATTTAAACTATCATTAGTTTAAGGAAAATGATTTCGGACACTTAACTGTAGTTAGTTAAGGCAACAACAATATAGTGATTGATCAATACTAGCTGGATCGGGCATTCCCAAATGAGTAATCCTCTAGTTTGGTCTAAGAATCCCATTTATGCATTCATATCTAATTCATCAACTATTCATGTTTTCATAAGTTCATTCTAAGATCTATTCTAGAGGTCTTCTAGATAGTCTTAACATCAATTAGCTAATAGGTATATCTTAAAGTCTTCTAGATATCCTTAACAATACACATCATTTTCTTGTTGACTAATTTATTCATTTTGAATTATGGTTCAAGATAGTCAAAAAACATATCTATTCATAATTTCATCTTTACGGTTCTTTCGTTCAATTCCATACATTTTTATTTCTCATAATAAAATCATGATCGTTATGTAGTCATAATCACTCGGGTTGTCCATTTGATCGTCATAATCAATATTTAATATCAATGATGTTCCATTATGTTTTTATCCATTATAATAATCATTTATTCAGAATATTATCAAGGTTTGATCATAATGATCATCGTAACATTTATTAACAAATAGCGGCCTAGCGTCGAGTGTTAACACCCTAGCTTACCATCATGCACCACGTAAGGTCCTTTTAGTTGTCAAAACATCATTTTTATTCTAAGAAATCATCTTTATAATAATCATAATTGATTAGTATCAAAAATAGGGTTTCATAGTTCAAAAATCATGTTTTCTGAACAATAATCGATTAATATATGATAGGAAATCGATTAATTGCTACTGACTTCAGTTAAATAATCGATTTTTATAGTTAGATAATCGATTTTTATATACCAAAAATCGATTTGTCTCTGCTGAATTCGTTTTTTGCAGCAGATCGAAAGTATAATCGCTTTATTCATGAAAAATCGATTTTGCATCGTCTCCTACCTCGAGCCAAATTACGGAAATGTCATTTTTAGTCACCAAACTTCAGTTAAAGTATATAGAAATGTTCTCCAAGGTTCATAGATCATTTTGGTAACATTAGTTCATAGTTTTAACAACAATTTCAAGGTTTATGATTCTTGGTTCTTCACACATGTCAAACACAAAACTCAACCAAACGACCGTTTATGAACGTAGAAACGATCTATATGAACATTCTAGTCATTAGATATACCTACGGGCTTACCTCGAAGCTTAACGGAGGTTTTGGAAATTTTCCGGCAAAACTTCCGGCGATTATTTCTCCCAACTCCGGCGACTTCGGCGGCCACCAACTACTGCAGCATGTTCTCCTCACTCTCAGGAACACTTTGGTACTAAACTTATAAGTTTTTGGTTAAGAATGAGAAGGTTGATGGTGGCTTATATAGGAAGAGAATGGGGAAGGTAACAACATTGATGCGTAGGATTTGCGTAGGAATGGATCTTTGATCGGCTGAGTGGAATAGGAGGCGCCTTCCCTGATTGGGACTAATTTTGGTCCCAATCGGGGTACACTTTTTGCGACGGAATCTGCGACAAAGTTTCTGCATTCTTAATTTGTTGTTTGCGACAGAAATTGCGACGGAATAATTCCGTCGCAGATGCACCAGATATCAGAACCAGAATCTGCCTCAATTAATTATGACCAACAACACAACAACAATGAAACAATACAGCATATAAACAACAGCAGTGAAATAACACAGCATTTGTCAAATTCATTAAAACACAAATATTTTCTCAATTCATGGTCAATCACAACAGAGCATTCGTTAAAACACAATTCAATCCAATACATTTTCAATCACAGCACAATATTCAATAAAACACATAAAGGTCATAACTTATTCATGCCACACAACCAGTTCCTGATCCTCCCATACCATCGTCAGGGTCTCGAGGTGTTGAAAGATTTCCACCACACATTCTTTGAATTTGTTCAGCAACTGTGAACTCAATCTTATCCAACTTTGTCTTCATGACCTCATTCTCCGCTCTCATCCGCTCAATCTCTGAAATATCACCAGTACTCTTTCTTTTGCCTTGATGGAAGCTCGTGGATCTATTCATCGTCATTTTACACAGGAATCGGCACCCAATCGGAGAACGGGAAGAAGAAGAGGAGGAAGAAGAAGGGGTTGTAATACCACTTATTCAGGAAGAAGGTAACACCCTTTTATTATTTCTATTTTATTTTTTTATATCTACAGTAGTATTTTAAATTTTTTTAATATATTCATGGAGGCAGGTGTCCATGGCGACGAGGGTGGTAAGACGGATGGTCACAGTTTCAGACGATGACAGTGCAGGGTCGTTATGTACTTTTGATCATCTTCACAGGTTTTCTCTATAATTTCATAAACTTAATTTAACTTATATGGTTGGGAGAGAAATTTTCACCCCAACATTACAGAAGTTATTTACACATACGAGGTCCAGACAGTTTGCAGTGTGTTTTTTGCTTTTCTACTTTGTTTTAGTTATAATGTGTTATTGTACACCCTCAAGGTCCCAAGCAGGTCCCATCTCTTTTCAGTTTGTAGATTTGCACGGAAAAAGAAGAGTCACCACCTGTTCGATGAAATGTCTTAGTGAGTTCTGTGAACGGAACTCCATCAAGTTAGGATGAACAAAAAACCACCGTAGCCCGTTATGCTCCTCATATGTTTACTGTATGACACTTCTGTCCATTTTAAACATTTCCTTTGACAGTCTAGCTGACAACAAATAATGGTATCTTTTTTAATTGTTAACACGAAAAGTGAACCATAATCAATCGGGAGGGAACGACAAAAAAATATTGTTGGGTAATATTCAAATCCCACGATCTCCATTTTTTTTGGAATCAATTGGAGAAGGCGTATGATCCTTGAAGTCATAGAGTTCTAAAGAGACTAGACGTCATTGTGTTGATGGTTGGAGAGAATCATATAGCCATGGAAACACCCCCATACACACCTTTCAAGAAATGGAGAATTCGGCACCTGTACTAAGACAACGGGTCACACATGTTGTAAATAATAAGCAGAAACATGCTTCTGCTCCATATGAAAATGGCCATAACCTTATTATTTTTCCAAACTTAATCAATGAAGATAAGTCTCAAAGTGCAATCAGTATGTAAACCAGTAACAAGTTGGAGAAAATAAGCACCCCCACCAAAAAAGACAGTTTTGTATCAATTAGGTTGAGTCAATTGAGAAAGAAGACAAAGCAAAGAAGCGTCAAGAACAATGACAGGTTTAGATCCTCATTCGCTTTTCTATGGCCATCTCTTTCTTTGTTAACTCGATTACTCCCTAAGATGACTACCTAAACATCCAGTTGATGTTTTATTTACTCTTATTCTATGATTGCATGTATATTCCCATTTTGCATTATTAGTTGTTGTTTTTTATTCTTGCTGTTTAGATCTTAAAGTACAGGTAAAGAAGACTACATATTAGAATATATTTAGAATTATTTGACGGTTAATATGAAACAAAATTTATTTTTTTCGTAAGTTTATTTTAACTTTGTTGATTTATTGTTATAAAGTTGTCAATGGTTTGAGGTCTCATCACTGCTTTATGTGATGTGTGTAAGTAAGTCATGTTTATGAATTGATCTTCATTTAAATTTTCTTTAAATGATTCAGGTTAAGTTCTCTAATGGTTTGCCCCCACCTCCATCTCGAAGTGAGTATGCTATTTTTTATATATTCCCTTTTAATCGTGCTTTCTGGGGTGATTTTTGAAGTATATATATATATATATTTTCAAAACAAACCATTTGTCTAAATGCGTTATCTATTAATCTTATGTGCACTACTTTGGTTGCTATAGAAAAAAGAGAGAAACTTATGAAGGTGGAACCACAACTAAAGAGGCTACTCCGAGGCTTATAATGCCAAATTAGAAGGCAACTCTAGAATCTCAGGTGGCCTCTTTGACTATTTTTTTTAACCATTTGTCTCTCATGTTTTGAGAATTTTGACTAAATGAGGCATTTATGTCATTATGATAAATTTGATTGAGGCAATCGGGAAAATACTTGGTCAATATGCAAATTAAAAAAAAAGAAGTCAAAGGGAAGAAGTGCTAAGAAAAATAACAGGTGAATACGCTTTTTTAATTTTTCAATTTTTTGTGTTTTTACCTTCTCCAAATAGATGGCACTAACGACATTAGTGCAAAGATTGACTTGCCTTGGACAAAATTGGGGCTTTCATCAAACGATGTTGATCGAGGTGGTCGCGCTAGCATGCAGCACCCCGATGGTGGCAGCATGGAGGTAAACCCTAGACCTATGGAACTTTTTTCATTTTATTCCATTTTTTTCAATTTGATACTATCCTATTTTTGTTAAATTTTGTAGTTGTTTTAATTAGTAATTTTTTTGTTCAAGAGAAATGTTGATGAAACATTGTATTCCTTCAATTTGTTATTAAATATCATCTCAAGATCAAAAACTTTTTTCAACTTTACTTCTGGTGAATTTTGCTATTATAATTATATTTTTTTTAAATGGAAAGTGTAAAATTTTAGCATGCTTTGCATTAACTTGCAGGTTATGAAAAATGTACAAGTGGATATGTTACAATTTAAGAGCATGTCATATATACTTTTTTTGGTCCCAACAAGCATTGTTCATATAACATAAGATGTAAATGTTATTTTTTTTAAATAGTTAAATGCATAGTTATGGTTTGATCTTCTATGGGCATACAACAGCTTTGTATGATCGGTACATGTGTTGGGACATGAAAGTGCCGATGCTATAGGACTTTTGTATATAGTTCTCACTTACTTATATGTTTACCTCTTGGAGCTTGCTTACAATTCGCTATATGGGAATATCATAACTCTTGGAGCTAGCTTGGAAATGGTAAAATGACGTTTTTGGTTCTTGAGTTGTGGAAAGCATAAGGGTGATGTACAATCACAATTTGTTATTGTACTTTGGAGTCAATTTAGGTTACCAACTTCAAGGTTTTCACTCCTTGAGAAATGAATTGAGAGGAATCCAAGGTTATTACAATTGGCCTTTTTAATAGTTGTTTCTTGAAGAGAAAGTTAAAATCTTGCAGGTTTCAAATGTTTGGAAGTAAGCAAAGTGAGAAGAGTCCAGTTTTTTTTTTAGGGAGAAGAGTCCAGTTATTGCAGACACTATTTTCCGTAGCTAGCTTTGGATTGCCCTTTGACTTAATTTTATAATTATAATTAAAGGTACTAGGTTTCCATGTCCTTTTCTTTTTTAGGATTTTCTCCTCCCCACACTCCCCCAATTTTTTCAATTGGCTTTCCATTCTATTGTCTTGATTTGTAAATTTATTTATTACTTATAGTAGTAACAAAGTAAAAAAGTTTTACGTATCCTTTTGTTATGAGGTGTTTATTCTTTATATTTTGAAGCAAATTAATTGTCATGCATGGCATGGGTCAATCTCCATTACGCGTCAGAGGACTATTAAAATCTCACTCTTTAATTGTTTTCAATTAAAAAAGGTTGTCTCGCGTATAAAAATTTTGCAAGAATTGAAGATCTTGAGTTCTGATGATCAAAATAATCCCCTGAATTAGAATTCAAATGTGTTGTATAATAAAATTTTTCAAAATTCCTAATTATTGTCCAATTCATTTAAAAATAATTTGAACCAATTATTCGTGACGTGACTTATTTGAAACCAATTATAATCATATGAAACATGATTTAATTATATACTCCCTCCGTCCTTGAGTATTTATTCACTTTTGACTATTTTTAGTCAAAATTGGTAAACTTTGACCTCAAATTAAATAAAAATGATATTAGATATTGATGCAAAAAGAGTTTTATTAGACTTATTATATCAAATATTTTCAAAATATTATTTTATTTAATTAAAATACAATATATTTTTTATTTAATTATATGTCAAAAGTTGAAAACAGTTGACCGGAAAAAGTAAAAACTGGACAAATAATACTCAAGAATGGAGGTAGTAGGAATATTAGAATATAATATTTTTACCGTGCATCGCACAAGATAGTCATGTTGAGATTCTCCCGAAACCTTGATTCTTGACACAAGTTCTCCTACCAAGAGTGTAGTACGTGGACTTCACTTATCTGAATATATTAGAGAATATGAGTACTTATTCTTTTTTGAGGATATGACACTATTAGGACTAACTCTTGAAGTAGTTGAAATGATAAATTAATTTGTCATGTCTCTCATTCCCGGTGATGAAAAAGAGTACTTGAGTTCTGATTCTTCATGCCAAGCAGATGCAGATTCTTCGTGATGATTGATAACCATTTAGTTTTTGAATGAAATTAAATGTTCGGGAATCTCAAACAACAAAATAGTTTGAAAAAGAGGGTACTGGTTCTGTTATTAAGAAACATTAACCAAACATCTAGATTGTGTAGTGATACAAGATTAATCATTGAAGAGTTATGAAATAATGTTATCGGTGCAACTATGGTTTCAGAAAATTGAGTTAGGGAAAAGGCTGAAATACCTAGAATGAATTTGGTATCGTCTGATCTATGACTACCCATGAAGTTTTAGAGAAGACAATTTTCAATAGTTATATTTTTTCTATAACTATTAACAGAAGTAGAGGTCAAACATTGTCATTTGTTATAATTTTTTAACCAAGTCAGTGTTCACTCATGGTCAGTCATGGTCAATCTTATGTTGTTGTTTCATGAGTGAAAACAAAATTATGGTTAATAATATTAGTTCTAGATGATAATGAAAACCCTTGCAACTAAACCAAAAAGGTTCTATACTCTAAAGTCTTTCCAAAAATATAGATTTAAAAAAAGTACTTTGAGGTGTTCATTTTTAAATTTATATATATAAATTTTCATTACCAAACATTATATGCTAAATTATTTGTTTTAATTTGATTTTAATGTTTATAATGTTAAAGAACGCATTGCATATATTTTCATTAATTCATTAAAAATATTATATAGAAAATAATTTACAGAAGCGACAAAAATTTCGTTCAACCCGTGCGTTGCACGGGTTAAAATACTAGTTTAATATAAAATTTGAGAGTTTGGACTCCGAAAAGCTGACATTTGGCAATACAAGAAGTTGACATGTGGCAATATAATTGATATGCTATGTGGCGTAATAAGGTGAGCCGAATCTAGAGAATTCCTTCCAAATTTACTTTATCTTTGATTGGTATGTTTTTATAGCATTTAGGAAAATTAAATCTTTTTCCTTCTTAAATCGAAGTCTTTTTAAAAGGGAAAAATTTCGTCCTGCCATCTCCTTAAAATCCAAATCTATTACAAGGTTTTTGGATCAGAATAGGTAATTACTAATTTAAGTTGCAAGGTATTACGTACTCCATATACTTTTTTTGTTTTATTTTAGTCCGTATATCTTAAAATATACTCCGGAGTAAGTCCAAAAAATTTGAATTTTGAAAAACCTACAAGAATGTCATAGAGTCAATGAATTTTCCATTCTGGGTAATTTCTAATTTTCCATTTCTCCATTTGTACTATGTCAATGAAAGAATGGAAAATAGACAAATAATGAGTCAATTGCTCATTTATAAAATGAAAATGGATAAATAATGAGTCCATCATAGAGTAGAAGATATTTTTCAAAAAGAAAATAGAGTAGAAAATAGATAAAGTGTAAATTTGTTTAGAAAATAAAAAAAGAGTTACTCTAAGTAGTTCTTTTAGAAGAAGGAGAATATAACGGGATCTGTAACGTCCCAAAACATGGTCTAAAAGTTATTTTATGATAAAAGAATTTCAAAACAATATTTTGACCCAACAAAATATTATTTCTATGTTTGACTAAAAATGAAAAAATTTCTGTAGTCAATGATCTTTTGTTAAAATTCAGTTTTATGGATAGGTCTCGAATAGATGAATCTAACGGTATATTTTATGAACAAATCTAATGTACGGATTTTGACTAACGGTATATTTTATGAACTTGACTGTCACACCGTAACGGTGAAAAGTGAGATTATTCTTGAAAAAAAGTGATGAAAAGATGGGATTATTTAAAATAATTTTTCAAAATAATATCATGATATCAATAATATATTTAATCATATTTAATCATACTATATCGAAAGATTTATAAATTATGCTATTATCTTGAATTATTATTGAAAATTTGTTTTAAAAAATATTAAATTTGTTTTAGTGTATGATTTTTTTAAAATAAATACTCTATTCATCCACAAATTTTCTTCGATACGACGACGTTTGAATAAAATTAGTTTTAATTCACTTGATATGATTATCCGTGTAAAGTTAAATAATAAAAATACATATTTAGAAACAAATAAAAAGTTTTACAAAATTAGAGGTGGAATAATTATATTATTTTTCACACACAATAGGTATCAAATCTCTTGATGGTGTAAATTACCTAACCGGGTAAACTATACTAGACCGGGTCTAGGATTGTTTACTTGATTTGGGAAGTAAAATGGTAAAAACACACAAGTGACCAGGAGGACTGTAGGTGGAAACACATGTAGCCCAATTGATATTATAAATATAAGAAAATACAAGGGAGCTTTTACAATGGAGTTTAGAGAGAAGGAATTCGACCCCCTTCCTTCGAAGGTTACAATTGTAACGCCCTACAAACCGGCCTAATAGCTAGCCAATATTTTAAATAAATAAATATTATTTATTTAATGAGACTCATTATTTTTAATAATAAAAATTGAGATTTCGATCTCTTTAAATGGCTTTTCAAAGCTAATGTATTTTAATTGTAAAAGATGTTTTAATAACGGGCCTCTCGACATTAATTAAGTAAATAAATTAATTAATGATTGGGATGGATCCGGAAGTTTGAAAATAAAGTTCTTAGAAAAATTATTTGAACATGTCATTAAATTCTTTTTGACTGTCTGATTCCAAAAACGCAAACGGATCTCAAATCAGACACGTTGGGGGGGGGGGGGAAACCGCGTACCGTTCAGGTCAGATTTTTACATTACGGAGTAAATAAATATTGTAACTCCCCTAAACCCTTGGTTCGGCCCCCTCAACACCACCATTATTCTCATTCATTAGGCTCCATAATCCACCATTTAAACTCCATCATTTCCCCTTCCATCACCTCCCATTTTGTAACCCCCAAGAATTCACAATCCTCACACACTCTCTCTCTCTTACTTTCGGCCAAGGCAACAGCAGCCAGGGAGGTCTCCGGCGAAGCTCCGGTGGGTGCACGGTTGAGGGATAAGGAAGGAAAGAAGAGCTAGGCCGTTTGTGTGAAACATAGTCATCGTTCGTCCGTTCATCTCGTTTCATCAACCCGGCAACCCCTACGTTTAGAGGTGAGTAGTTGTCCCCTCTAATTCTAGAACATCAAGTTATAATCTATGTTGTTATATTCATAGGAATATCATACGCAACCTACGTAGAATCTATGCATGTTCGTAGGTTAGCCATTAAAACGTTCACCGCGTAAAACTCATACATATTGGCCTAGGAATCACTAGGAATATATTCATAAATTGTTTACATTATTGTTCTAAAAGAATCAAGGTGTTAAGTTCTCAAAAAGGACCAAAAACGAAGCCAAAGTCAGTGGACTGTCTACGGGACGGTCGACCGCCGCAAAGGACGGTGGACCGTTTCCCATGACCGTCCGTCAGCCACCACCATAACGGTCGACCGCCGGCCGCGACGGAAGACCGAGGTGGACTGCCAGCATTCCAGTCCTCCACAACGTAGCCCACGGTCGACCGCCGGTAGGGTACGGTCGACCGTTCCGCGGGCAGATTTCTGGGCAGTTTGTATAACGAGCCCCGTTGACCACGTTGACCCTGAATCTGATAGTTTGTTACATGAAATGTTAATCTTCATTATAATTCAATTGATATATTCTTGGCGTTGACCAAAGGTAAATATATCAAGCATTCATCATGTTCATTCTAGACGCATGTCCTAGGTTTTTCATCATGTGCATACCACTGTAGGGAGGTCAGGCTTTCGTGCGCCTACTACAGTGGGCCCGTCCAGGAACCTTTGGGATCCAACAGGTTTTCATCAGGTGGGCTTTATGTACGTACATGGTAGTCAGGCTACGGCTACCACCCAGTTTTGCTAGTTCACTTGCGACATTTTCGTCGAGCCCGGCTCATTACCGGAGTGCAGGGGTGATCCTGTCAAGTGAGGCTAAGCAAGGGGTGTCCCTGATAGTTTAAGTCATGCACCAAGTCATACCGTCATCATGTGGGTTCCATGTCATGTCAACATTCAATGTGGTCGTCATCATCATGTATGTTCCACGTCACATCAACATTCAAGGTGGTTGTTATTCATTTTGTTATGTGTAATAATATCCCATCAAGTGCAAATTAATCAGTTAGTAAACATGTGATTTTCCGTACGTTAAAGTACAGGTATTAATATGTGTATAATCATATGGGTTATCACTTCATTTTCTTTTGTTAGATTCACTCCTCAGCTTTTGCTGAGCGTGTAGTTGTTTTTGCTACACGCAGGTAGTCATGACGGTACAAGTGCTAACCTTGGAGGACAGTGATGATGGGAGGATGGGCGGCGCACGGACGAGTTTAATAATTAAATACATTTAATAAATTAATCATTTGGGCAAGAACCCACCATTTGTCGTTTTACTTATTGTGGACTTATTTATTTACTTCTGCTTTTACTTTGCATTTACATCACACACGTCTTGGGGTTAACTCTCTAGCATTTATTTCATTAATTAGACCCAACCGTTTTCATAATAAATGGACATTAAAGTTCTTTACTCTACGGACGGTTCTCGGACCGCCCATGTAACCCTACCGATCCGTTGGGTCGCGGGTGAACCAGGTCCACGGAAGGCGGGTGTTACAACAACTGTATTTATATTCAGCCATAGGGGACAAGGCATCGTGCACCCACGTTGAGGCACGTTCCTGGGTAGTGAGAGGTGATGGTCTTCGTCCTCTAGCCATTTTGTCACCTTGCGAGGAGGATTGCTCCCTTTGTCATGTAGCACCTTGGATGGATTGTTTAAGTATCTCTAGAGATTCTCCACCGATCTTGGTCGCTACGGTCCAAGCCCCCTTTGGACTCTTCTCTACCGACACTTTACATCCTTAGAAATCATACTGGGTGATTTCTGAAGGGTGAGTTCTCTGAAACGGGTGATAAACGAGATGTTAGACGCCTCGCACACCTCTAGAGGGGGGGTGAATAGAGATGTTGCCCAAAAGACCGGTTTTTTTTGCGCGGAAACGTTCTTCACGAATATTCAACAAAAACAATGCACCACAAACAAAATAAAGTGAAGGATAAGANTGATTTCACAAAACTCAGGATTTCTTCCACCTAACGTTTGATTTCACAAACCGTTAGGATTTCTACCACTTGGTGTAATCCCAACACCAAGAATACAAATCCCTTACATTAAAGTAAGAAAACAAACCGCAACCGAGTAATTCTCCCAACACGGAGTAGATTGTTGCAAATACAATGAAGTCCTTTAGAATATGGCAATATCTCTCAAAGACTCAAGCAATGAGGAAAAACTCAAGCAAGAAATGATTTAGCAATCAAAACAATTGCCTTGCTTGGATATGAGGGGATTGAGTAGAATTTTTTTGGATATTCAAAGGATATGTTCTTCAAAGTGTTCTTAGTGTTCTACTAAAGATAATCTCGAAAGTAGATGGTTTTTAGAAGTTGGGGAGTGGATAGGGATGAAAAGGATTCAAAAAACTAGCCGTTTGGTAGTTGAAACTGTCGACTTATTCGAATAACTCAAGAACTATTCGAATAGTTTGGATCAATCGCGTGGCTTGAAAAAAACCAGTTCCTATTCGAATAAATAACCATTTATTCGAATAAATCAGGGTGAAAAGCCAGGACTTATTCGAATAAGTGGTGATTTATTCGAATAAATCAGGTTGATTTCAGCAACAGGAAAGATCACGACTTATTCGAATAAACTAAAGATTATTCGAATAGAAAGGCAACTTCCCACACAAAGGCTGATCTAAAATAAGTTTTAAAGGTAAGATGATAAGGGAATGAACCTTAGAGATGCCATACTCTTTAACACATAATCTAAGACCTAAAACACTACCCAACTAAGGAAACAACCTCTTCGGTCTCGTTCCTTCCACCGATGCTCAAGTCCCTTCTTCACGGACGGATATGAACTTGTTGTATCTTTGATTCTTAGCCTTGATGCACAAAATGATGATGATATTTTGTCACTCTTTTGTCATTATCAAAACCTAAAATACAATGGGCAAAGGACATTGCAAAAATATATATGCATGATAGCACATTGTCCAACACGAGATAATAAAGTAGTTTAACCGGTATACTATCCGAAGTATATCGGTCAACTATTGAGTCAAACCAATACTATTTTACTAACGAATTAGGTCTCTCTTCTAAGGACTATCAACTTGACCGGTCAAACATTTGGACATTTTCTTTGACCAGTTCTGGGTGGGTTACACCCATCAATAAGCCATCCACTTCTCGGCCATGTAAAATATCATGGGCGGGAAGTAAAAACCCTGCGAAATGGACCCAAAATTAGAATTTCAGGTCTTTCCCGCTATAAATTTTCAAAATTTGAATTTTGAAAAGTACTGATTTTGACACGTGTTGCGCGCTGGCATGGCAACAGTCGCGCCCCTCCACCTCCCCATGCGTGATGATTGCGCTGCCTGACACGGCGCATTTTTCAAAGGCCACGTTGCCCTCTCAGATTTCTCCTCACCTATATAAAGGCCTTCAACCCATTCATTCTTTCACTTTCTCGCGTGCGCGTCGTCTGAATTTTACCGGTCAAGTCCCATGCTCTACCTTCCCAGCCCTCCGAGTCAAGTAAGCTTCCTTCTTTCTTCCATTAGATTTCTTTCTTTTCCTTGCCCGGTCAATGTCTTCTTCTGATAGTCAGAATATATCGTCCTCAGATGCAGATGCCTACAGTCAGGAGTTTGCGGAGTTTGCAGAGAGGGATGAACCGGTCGAGGGTGAACCGGCTCCTTATGACCCAGATAGTGAGTCTTAGGTGCAGTGGGAGGAGAGGTTAGAAGTAGCTGGTTACTCTCCTCTTCCCACCTTCTATGTTTCAGACACCTACCCTAACGTCTCCAAAATTTCCCTAAACAAAGCCTGTAGGAACCTCCTGGAGGGCTATGTTCTTGAATACGATGAGAACTGGCCCAACATTATCGAACCTCACCGGGAGGATAGGATAGGCTTTCACATCACTTCCTTAGAGGGTGGCATCTTTTTTCCTCTTTGCCCCCTCTTAGTTGAGGTGTGTCACACTGTCACTGCTTCCGGATTTTTCCCGTGCAGATCACACCCAACGCCCACTGGCTCCTCAATTCCTTTGTAAATATTTGCCACTATATTCACATCGATCCCTCTCTGCGTCTTTTCCTTTACGTCTTTGAGGTCCGTCCCGGGAAATCGGGCTGCGAAGGTTTCGTCTACTTCAAGGGGCGGACCAATCGCAAATTCATTTCTGACCTTCCACAAAGCAACCGGTTGTGGAAGGAGAAATTTGTTTTCATAAGATTCCCCTCCTTCGTTACTCCTCTGGCCGGTTTGAGGTGGAGCGACAACCTCCTCAAACAGGAATACACTTAACCGGCAACCACTCCCGACTTCGAAGAGAGTCTGGAGAAGCTACAGAAGGGGGACCCCTTTACCGGCCAGAAATATCACTACAGGAGTTGGGTATGGAGGGTTCAACCGGGTGGTGAAGGTACCTCCCAAGCACATGAAGCAACGGGGCACGGGTACCCTCTCCGGGCAACACTGCAGAGGCTGAGGGCCAGAGTCACCCAGGTATCCTTCATTACTATTTTTCTTTCTTCATTTGTACCGGTGTTATTCCCAGTACTTATCTTTTTTGCTTGTTTTGAAGACATGAACTTCAGATCCTTCAACATTCCCAAGAAGACCGGTGCGTCTTCCTCTGCTAGCCCACACAACTCTTCTGCGAAGACTGTCCCGGTCCAACAAGAGACTGTTGAGATCCATTCTGAGGAGGAGACTCCTCAGACCGGGGAGGCTGCTCAGACTGGGAGGGTCCCGGTGAATCCTCCTCCCAACAAAGGGAAAAGGAAAACGAGGACGAAGGAAGCGGCCACCACTCACCCGGCGGCTAAGAGAAAAAGGGAGGAGGGTGTCCCGGTCACCCAATCACTCGGAGAGCTCTGGGTGAAAATGGGACTAAAGCTGAAAGAGGTAATTCTTGCCCGGTATGTCTCCTTTTCTCCATTGTTCATTCATCCATAATAACTCGTCCACTTCCATTTTGCAGATTGGTGAGGTTGGGCCTGATGCCCTAGAGCAGCTCGCCGAGGATTCTCCCTCCCGGTCATCCCTGCTGGAGGAAAAGTTAAAGAGGGCCAAGGCACATAACCGGGAGCTTCAGGATCTAACGGCCAGGTAACTTGATGAGATGGCCAACCTTACTAGGGTGGCCGGGAAAGCGGACGCAGAGATCCTCCGGCTGAAGGAGGAGAACTTGCAACTGATGGGGGAGGTCTCCCATCTAAAAGAGGAGGCTGAGCTGAAGGAGAAAGAGATGCCCGGTCGAGCCAAGCAGTGGATGGAGGAGAACCTGGTAGAAGCTGCCCGGGTACTTTCTTCTTCTGAGGGAAGGACCGGGGAAGGCTTTCAATTGTTGTACCAGGAGCCTCTCGGAAAAGAAATGATTACCCAGATAGGGTCTTTTGGCTTCATGTCTGGCCAAAAGAGGGACCGGGAGGCTACCCACGAGATCGTGGCTGAACGGGATCCGGCGTTCTCTGCTGAAGCTTACGGCCTAGCCCCTATCCCAGATGAAGAGCCTGCTCCTCCCTTCCCCCTAGAGTAGATCTCCCTGGCTGTGCCCGGTTATCTCTTGTAACATTTAAAACATCTTCATTTTCCCGGGTATGCCCGGTGTACTTGTAAACATTCGGCATTTAATTTTTCTGAATTTAAATGCCATGTTTAATTTTCCGCCTAGTTATTTCTGCTCTTTCGAATGCTTCCTGTTTGATATTTTGCTTCTGCCCCTTAGGATGTCTTCGTACAAACTTTAACCAGTATATAATGCAACCACTTCTTTGAATCTTTGAATCTGATTTAGATCTACCGGTAGAACTTCACCTTTTGCTTTTGAATATCTTCCTTTTGATGATCAACCTGAATATGAACTTCAGTTTAATCGGTACGTCCCCTCTTCACGGTTTGACCGGTTAACGAATTCGCCTTAAAGAACTTTGGAAGTTCTACTGCATTAATACCCAACCGGGGTATTCCCTCTTTTTTTGTTTAACCGGTAGGTTGTAGATGGAAGCACATGTAACCTAGTAATTCCTTGAAGTATCCTTAACCGGTAAGAATACTAGAGATTTAACCATGTCGAATGGTTTCGAACCCTCTCTAAGGTTCAGATGCACCCTTCTTCCAGACCCCCCTCTTCCGGGTGATTAAGTCTTTTAATGGCCCTTTGATTTCTACTATCCTCGGAAGGCCTTAACTCACCCTCCCGTTCAAGTCTTCCTTGAGAAGGGAAAATCTGAACCGGTCGGAATAGGATGCATCACGGTGGACGATCTTCTTCTATTTCTTTTAATGGGCATCTTCTAGTTTTCCAATCAGTTTGACAGCTTCGGTTGATTCCCCGATACCGGTCAAACCTCACGGGCCCGTGTAAGTACGGTTCGAACCTTTTTCCAAGTCCAGCCTTCCGGGTTTTTTTATTATACTGAGCAAGACCGGTGTAGTAACCAGCGTGCCAGGTCCGGGCCTGTGTCTCAGTTGGCTTACCCGAGTAGATTCGATCCACCCGGAAAGCCCTCCTTGGATAGGTTCGACCTATCATACCAGCTGCTAGCGGGTAGAGTGTTGAATTTAATCAATTCGATTGCTTGATAATAGAGATAGGCCTTGCCTAGTATTACAATCATTTGTAGAATTTTCTCGGGAAGTCCAAGTTCTTTCCACCAGGAGACCCTCTAGAGTCTCTAACCGGTAGGTTCCCGGGCGAATAATAGCTCTCACCCGGTAAGGGCCTTCCCAATTCTTTGACAGCTTTCCTCCATCACCCGGTTTACTGGCTTCTCTCCTTCTTAGGACTTCATCACCCACTCGAAAGTATCGTGGTCCAACTCTGTTGTCATGGTATTTTTTCACAACTTGTTGGTAAGTGCTCATCTTTACTTCCGCAGCCATCCTCCGCTACTCAACCAAGTTGAGCTCGGCCAGGTGGTCTTCTTCATTTTGTTGGGGTTGGTAGTTTGTCTCCCTGAATGTTGGGAATTCAACTTCGATGGGCAATCTCGCTTCACAACCGTAAGTCAAGGAAAACGGAGTTTCCCAATGAGCCCTCCTGGCTGTTACTCGAAATGCTCATACGATGTGTGGGAGCTCTTCCAACCACTTATTTCCTACTTCTCCCAGCTGTTTGTTCAATCTATCTACAATCGTTCGGTTGGCGTTCTCCACTTGGCCATTGCCTTGGGGGTAAGCCACCGAAGAACGATTGTGTTTAATTCTGAAGCCCTCCAAGTATTCAGTGAGTCTTGGATTTCGGAATTGCGGGCCATTGTTAGTAATGAGATTAATGGGAGCTCCAAATCTCGTGATAATGTTCTTCCAAATGAACTTCTTGCATTGTTGCGTGGTGATGTTGGCCAACGCTTCGGCTTCGATCCATTTGATGAAGTAATCGATGGCCACGATTACGAACTTTTTCCTTCCTTGAGCAATTGGGAATGCTCCAATGATATCAACCCCGAATCTAGCAAACGGGATGATATTCGAGACGGGATGATAGTAGGTCGCCGGTCTACCAGGGTACTTGTAGAATACCTGGCAAGTTCGACATTTCTGAATGTACCTTTCACAATCCTGGACGATTGTTGGCCAGTAGTACCCCAGCAATATGATACGCTGGGATAGAGTGCGAGACATTTGATGAGCCGCACACACACCAGCATGAACCTCTTCTATGACTCGCTTTGCTTCCCGGTTGGTCAGGTATCTCAAGAGTGGTCCCCCGAATGCCCTTTTGTACAGCATCCCGTCGATGACTTGGAATTGGGGTGCCCTGAGCATTACTTTTCTCGCCCGGTCTTCTTGTTCTAGTAGACTACCGTTTACCAGGTATTTCAGAAGATCATCCATCCAATGATCGTCTGCCCCAACCATGTTGGAGATTGACCGGTCAGGTTGTAACGACGACTTCCAATTTCTCGATGCTAGCTCGATCAAGAATTTCCACCCTGGCAAGTTATGAAACATGCTCGGGGGCATATTGCGTTAATTTAGAGAAAAGGTCTGCATCTGCGTTTTCAGCCCGGGGAATCTGGGTGATCTTGAATTCCGCAAAGCCTTTCAACAAGTCTAGCACCATATCCTTGTACTGCGCCATTCGTCCTTCCCTTGATTCCATGTTACTAGTCACTTTCCCAACAATCGGACTAGAATCAGATTTAATACTGACCCGATTGATTTTAAGAGCTTGAGCAAGTCGAAGTCCTCCAACAAGAGATTCATATTCTGCTTCATTGTTTGTCAATTTGAAGTTGAAGACGAGTGCATGGTAGATCTTGAATCCTTCGGGGGTGGTAAACACTATGCCGCCTCCGTACCCTTTAGGGCCAGACGCCCCATCCACACCCATTTCCCACCATTGCTCAGTGGGCTGACTGACCGGTAGGTCAGTAGTTAGACCGGTCATTTCTACCAGAAAATCTGCAAGGGCTTGTCCTTTGATTGCTGATCTTGGCCGGTACTCAATGTTAAATTGAGTTAACATCATCGCCCATTTCACCATCCTCCCGGAGGATGTTGAATTTCGCAATACTGCACCCAGTGGTTGATCGGTCAAGACTTCAACCGGGTGAGCTTGGAAATACGATGTTAACTTCTTCGCGGAGATGAAAAGCGCGTAGGCTGTTTTTTCCATCGCCATATATCTAGTTTCCGCTCTGTTTAGTGCTTTGCTCACATAATAAATGGGCTTTTGTGCCCCATCATCTCTTATTAAAACGGAGCTTACAGCATTTGGGGAAATCCCTAGGTACAGATATAGAGTTTCACTGGTTCGGGTTTTGACAATACAATGTCTGACACTAGGTACTCCTTCAGCTCCTCAAATGCCTTCTGGCAGTCTTCGCCCCAAGTGAATGTGTTGGCCTTCTTCAGGATTTTTAAGAAGGACAGATATCTCTCAGCTGACCGGGACAGGAACCGGCTGAGGGCTGCTAGACGACCGGTCAACTGTTGCACATCCCGAACAGAGGTGGGAGCTTGCATTTCCGTGATAGCCCGAATTTTTTCCGGGTTGGGCTCTATCCCTATCCTGGTAACCATGAATCCCAAGAACTTCCCGGTACGAACCGCGAAGACGCATTTCTTGGGATTCAACCAGAGGTTGTATCTTGCCATAATATTGAATGTCCCACGCATGTTAGCCGGGTGGTCGATAGATACGTGGCTTTTGATCAGCATGTCGTCGACGTTTGCTTCTATGGTCTTCCCCAGTAGTGGCTTGAAAATTTTGTTTACCATGCGCTGGTAAGTTGCTCCTGAGGTTCCTTCGGGAGAGAGGAATGACGTCTTCTCTTCATCTTCCTTGTCCATGTAGATTTGGTGGTAGCCTTTGAAGGCATCCATGAAACTTAGGAGTTCGCACCCCGCAGTTTCATCCACCATTTGATTTGGACTGGGCAGGGGGTACGAATCCATCGGACAGGCTTTGTTCAAGTCTGTGTAATCCACACACATCCTCCATGTATCGCCCTTGGGGGCCAGGACCACATTGGCCAACCAATCCGGGTATTTGACTTCCTGGATGTGACCAACACTAAGGAGGTCCCTTACCTCCTTCCAGACGAAGTCTCGACGATCGCTGGCTAGGTACCTCTTCTTCTGGCGTACCGGTCGACTTCCTTCCCTCACTGCCAGCCGGTGGCAGATGATTGAGCGGTCAATCCTAGGCATATCTGTCACGCTCCATGCAAATATGCCTGCGTACTCTTGGAGGACCCAGATTATCTCTACCTTGAGGTCCTCTAGGAGATTCGCTCCAATTCTGACCGTCCTTGAAGGATCACCCGGGTGGAGTTCAATTTCCACCGTTTCAGCTTTGGGCTCAAGTTTCTCCCAGGCCTCTCCTCTCCCTTTTTGATTTCCTAGGAGATGACGTTTACTCCTTTCGTCATCTTCTTCACTGCCCGGGCATAGCACTCGCGGGCATTCCTCTGGTCACCTCTCACCTCTCCCACACCACCTGGCGTGTGGAACTTCATGCACAGGTGAGGCATGGAGATGACCGCTCGGACTTTGTTGATGCCCGGTCTTCCAAGAATTGCGTTGTGGACGCATTTGATATCCACAACGATGAACCGCATCCTCTTCCACACGGTTTTGTCCCCCAATCCGAGTTCGACCGGTAGGACTATTGATCCTTCAGCTTCCACGGTATCTCCCGTGAAGCCTGAGAGAGGAGTTTTCAGGGGTTCAAGTTGTGTCCGACACAACCTGAGTTTTTGGAAAGTCTCCAAATACAGAATGTTGACACTGCTGCCGGTGTCAACTAGCACCCGGGCGACATCCACCCCATTAATGTCCATGGTGATGACCAAAGGATCATTATGATCTCCACCAGTAGCCGGAAGGTCCCAATCGGTGAAGACAATCGGTTCCCTTCTTGTTTGCTTTCGCCTGACTGGGTCAGCACTTACATCTCCGACGTAAATTCTACGGACCCAATTCTTCTGTTGCGCGCCCGAATCTCCACCTTCAGGTCCACCAAAGATCATTCCAATGTTTTCTTTATCAGGGGCTCGCTGCTGCTGCCGGTTATTCCTCCGCCGGTCATTCCCTGGGCTGCTGGCCTGATCCATTGGTGGTTCTTTTCCTGGGCTTTTTGCAAATAATCCTTGCCCAGTTCTCCACTATCTATCATCTGCCGGACAATTCCTTTAACACTTTTGCATTCTGAAGTGTTATGGGAATCTGACCTATGGTACGAAGAATATGTGTCCGACCACTATCGTCCCGGTTGACCGGTAGGACTTACTGGAGGATTGACCGGTGCTTTCCTTACCTCCTGACATTCTTCTGTATTGACCACACGGACGAGCGGATCATAGTGGTGCCTTGGCCGGCTAGGAGGAAAGGGGGACGAGATGAGAGTAGTTTTTTGCTTTGTTCGTAGAGTTAGAGGACTCAAGCAATTACAAAGAAAATGGACATTCATCTATAGGAAATATAATCATTTTTCTAAAGAATGATTTCCGACTACTTATGTAACCAAAGAAAAGTAGATTTAGATTCTTTAAAAATATTTTTCTCACAACAAAAAAAACTCTAAAGGTCAAAATCGAAAAGAACATTGTCTTTAATAAAAAATTATAGAATGTAACAAAATTTCATTCCACCCGTGCATAGCATGGATTCAAACACTAGTATATATAAATATATGTGTGTGTGTATATATATATATAGACACTAAAATTCACAGAAGTAGTACCCTTAACCACGCGCTATTAAGTACACGCGAATCATCTTTGATTTTCAGCCAGACTCCCGCTCATTGCGTGGATGGGACGATCCATTACTCGCGTAGAAATAGAGTGATTAAATTGTGATAACAAAAGATTAATAGGGAGTATTAAAGTAGAAAAATAAAGATACAAGAACGAAAAAAGTCTGAATCCGGGAGGGAGGGGGAGGAGAGAGAGAGAGAGAGAGAGCGAGCGAGCATCAACGGGCAGAGAACGATCGGAGAGATGAACTGCGGAGTCCCTTAAAAAAGGTTTGCGATTTTTACAGAGATTTAAATGCGAAACAATTTCTCGAAAGATAAAGCAGCAATGGTGGAAGAAGCTCATTTTGGGTTCTAAAGGGCGAGTAGCAAGAGAGAACGACGAGCATTGAAGATAGAGATTTCTTTGAATAATTTCTCCTTTTCCGAATCTGAAATTCGGATTCAGCTTGGGAAAGCTCCAATAAGGTCTGCCTAGCTTATCTGTTCTCTCCGTATAGATCAAAGTATCAATTTTGAGCTACAATCTCCGTGGTTTTGAGCCTCAATTTTCTGTTGGAAAAGCTTTGAACTTGAGGTTTGTAGCTTCAAGCTTTAATTTCTGTGCAAAAGGTTGAATTTTAGTTTATTCAGTGATTTCTGTGGGATTTTCGGGAAGTTGAACTGTTGAATTAGGAATAAATCTGGGGTTTTACTTGGAGTTGGAGCAGTGAATTCCTGTTGGCAACAGCCGGTTAGTTGTAGTTGCAGTTTGGAAATTCGGGCTTAGAATTTGAAATTTGGGATATGTTGAGGGGAGAATTGGTTCTGGGAGAATTTGGATCTCGGGGAGTTAACATTTTCTCTCCGTCCCTATAAAAATTGGGGTTTCAGAGATGGGATCAGGTATTGCGTTGTTTGCGTTGCTGTTAGAGCGGTTGAATATTGTTTGGAGGATGAATATTTGTAAATGGAGCAAAACCCTAATTTAGTAGTGGAACTTTGGTGTTTCTGAGCAGTGGGTAGTTGGTGTTGTAGTTGAGTTGTTATTTTGCTTTTGTATATGGACTTTATGTGCTGAAGAGAGATGCAACCTCCACATCAGCACACACGGATCAATCTCGTCGAATTGAAGGCTCAGATAGTGAGGAAACTGGGACCAGATGGTTCCAAGCAGTACTTTCATTACTTGAGTAATTTGTTGAGCTTGAAAATGAGCAAAACCGAGTTCAATAAACTTTGTGTTAGGGTTCTTGGGAGAGAGAACATTCCACTGCATAATCAGTTCATACGTTCTGTTTTGAAAAACGCTTGTTGTGCAAAGGTTCCACCTTCAAGAAGCGAGAATGAAGTTTCGGCACAAGCAATTGCCAAGAACAAAGATCCTTCAAGTGATGATGCCATTGAGCAAAATGGGCCACATGTTGCTTCAAATCAACCCCGGTTGTCAAATGGGAATACTCTTCCATCACCTCCTTGTTCAAATACTATTATTGAAAATGGGGATTTACCTGTGGCAATGCATCACCATCAAGGAATCATGCAGCGAACAGAGAATGATGCGGCAGTGTTGGGGCAAGCCCCTAGAAATCCTTTAGTAACAAAGAGACCACATGAACAAAGGAGTTCACTTCAAGCTCCACTTGGGGTCTCACATTGTCCGGTCGGTGTTGGTGGGGCCCGTAGAGCATCATTACATTTGGCAACCGCAAGCAAGTCTGTTCGCACCGATTCTACTTCTGTTGGTGCTTTGTTAGACAGTTTGACACTCAGGGAACACATGAATCAGATTGCCACGGAACATGGGCTTGAAGGGGGTGTGTCCGTGGATTGTGCTAATCTGTTGAACATCGGTCTCGATTCTCACCTAAGAGGTTTGATCGGATCTTGTGTTCAACTTGTTGGAGCAAGGCGGTCAGGGCAGAATGGGACAGTGAATACAAACACTGTGAAGCACCAAGCATATACGAAACCGGTTAATGGTGTCAGACCGGGATATCAGTTGCAGTTAAACACTGGCAGGCCTTCAGAAGTTTTGCAAGAAGAACCTCTACCGCCTCAGAGTTTCATATCATTGCAAGATTTTAAGGTAGCAATGGAGCTGAACCCTCAGCAACTGGGTGAAGACTGGCCTGTGCTGCTTGAGAAAATATGTACTCGTGAAATGGATGAACATGTGTGACTCTGTGACGTTCTTCGATTGGAGCTCTGCCAGACAGTCTCTACTGGATTCCAAAGGGCATTGGGGTTTTATATTTTTTATTCTCTATTCTTTCTTTGGCCTGTTTGCACACTTAGAACCAGTATGTGACTGGCGAATGAACTTAAGGGATTGATTGTAGCGAGTGGAGCCCAACACATTTGTTTTGTTACTGCTGGATAAACTAGCCATCGGGCAGAAACACCGCATTCATTCGCAGCTGCTGGAAGGGAAACCAAACAGAGAAGAAGAAAGCCCACACTGGTTGCCTTGTTGTATGATTAGCATAATCCTCACCGTGTATCTTTATGCATTCTCCTGTAATTTTCATAGTCGATGAGGAATTTAGAACAGTTTTGCAGGAATAATCATGTAGCCTTAGTATGTTTTTAATTATTATGCAAGAGCTGAAATGAATGTATCTTCGGAACGAAGATTGATTGGAACCCAATGTTAACCACACGTTTCACCACTATCACAGCCATCGTAGTTCGAATTGTCTCTACCCACAGTCTTCATTTTGTTTATTCATAGGATAGGATTTTTCTTGTGCCTTGCGTTTTTCGTTCTCCATCCTTTACAATAACTACCAAACTGAACGAGAAATCTTAATCTTGTTGAACGTTAATCTTTGTTCTTTTTGTCTGTCAGTTGAAACATGTTTCACCCAGTAGGCGTCTCTGTTTTGTACAGGCTCTTGTTTCCTTGATATATCAGATAATGCGCGACACTCAAGTATATAAATATACTGTAAGTTCCCTCTGTTCTGTTTGTTAATAGTCAGCCAAATATTTATTGTTCTTGTTTGTTAACATGTGTTACTTCACCAGGCGAGTGGGGAGCTACTGTACAGGCCTTATGAGAGCGCAAAGTGGGACTGTTTTAGTTCAATCGTCTTCAGCCTAGAGACGCTGCTGGTGTTGCCGCAAATGCGGTATGTCTTCAAAATGATACATTGTCTTTACTATTTAGATTTGATAGGGACAAAGTTACTACATTACTGACACTCAACCATTTTAAAGCTCCATCCTAAATGAGACTTTAAGTTAGGGATGGAGGTACTCCATTATTCCATATTAAGCCATTTCAAAGGGATTTGGAAGAGAATGATAAGAAATTTAGTTTTCCTTTTGCTTAGCCTTTTTTTTATCTTATTTTCTTTTCCTTCCACTTTTCTTTTCTTTTTTTTCTCTCTCTAACCAAACATGAAAAATTGATTTCCAACTCATTTTCTTTTCTATTCCCTCTCAAACTCCTGGAGCCAAACATTAATAAGGAAATTAAAGTTCACTAAGTTTCAAACTTCACACTTCTTTTGGTTGTCCCAGAATAAATTTCACACTGCTCTCATCTTCTTTAAAAATGCAGTATTTGATTTATAATAGTTCTATTTGAAGCAAACTTTAACAATGTTTTTTTAAATTTGGTGAAACGAAACTAAAGATTCCGTATGAAAAATTTATTTTGGGACAAGTCACAAGTGTATCAATTTATTTTATCCTCAAATTACTAGAGCTTGAAAACCATTTTCCATCATACAATTTTACTTTACTTAAATTTTACGTCAAACCAAATGAGAGACCTTATTTTGAGACGGAAGAAGAGTACATGAAAGAAGAAAACTACTCCGTAATTCTCAAAAATAAAAAAAAAACAAAGAAAGTGGAAACCTAAATCGGGACAGATGGAGTATACTCCGTACAAATCTTTTATCACTAATGTTATCAACAACATCGGAAATCGAATATTTGTAAGAGAATGTGATGATCTGAAGACAAAAAGTCAACAGGTTTTGATCCACAGATGTATGGAAGAAGTAATTTGGTGGGTTATTCATTGGGCTTCAAGTCTTGCTCTCAGGTTCTTTCTTAGTATCTTGCCTGATGGAGATTTGGGAACTGCCTCCACAAAAAATACATTCCTTATTCTCTTGTAAAATATCACCTGCAGAGAGAGAACAAAAAAAAAACACAAAAGACGAGGAAATGATATTTAAAAAAATTAGGCAAAAACAACAAAAATTAAATTTCCCCAAGTAAAATAATCTTCTGTAGCTCTTTTAAACAAATCCTAACCGCTCGTTTTTTCACTGTTTAACATTTTTTCTTCATTTATCTTAATCTCCGAGAAATCTATGTAAAGAAGTTAATTTTGGAACGGGGAAGTATTTAATTGGTTAAGCTAGCATTTATATACTATGTATACCTGCTTAGAGACAAAGTCTTTAACATCATCCTCGGTGATGTTACACCCATTCAACTTAACAACAAAAGCAACTGGAACTTCTCCAGCATCTTCATCTTTCATGCTGAGGCAAATAGTTACGGAGTAACATTATTTTAATAAAAGTGAAACTGTACGGTTAAAGATGACGCGGAGAAGAGAAATAGTAATATGAGCCAATAAGAAAAGAGGGAGGGCGGGGAGGTTACGTACGGGATGACAGCAGCATCGGAAATGAGAGGGTGGGTAAGGAGTAAGGCTTCAAGCTCAGCGGGGGCGACTTGAAAGCCTTTGTATTTGATGAGCTCCTTGAGTCGGTCCACGATGAATAGCTCGTCGTCCTCGTCTATGTACCCTACATCTCCCGTGTGTAGCCATCCTTCCTTGTCGATTGTTCTTTTTGTCGCCTCTTCGTCATTCAAATATCCTGCATCCATGTAAATACATAAACACGTAGTAATTAACCTCATTCGATATGAAATGATCTTTTTCCCACAAGACACTTTAACCCCACTTAAAATGTCTAAAATACCCTCATGATAACTTCTATCCGCAATAAAGGAGAAATGAGATGCATTTTAGATATTTTAGGTCGGGGTAGAAGTGTTTTTTTGGATGTGCAAAAAATGAAGGCGCAATCATTTTTTCAAACGGACGTACTAGGATACAAGTCTTTCTTCACAAAAGTAAAAAAAGAAAGTTAAGATCTTTTATAGAACGTGGGAATGCTTCAAAATAATGTAATCCCCAATGTTGAGAGCCAAGACTTTTTCTTTCATTTCTTTCTTTATAGTTCACCCATAAGTAAGTGGGACCAATATGTTCTCTCTCTCTCTCTCCCTCCCTCATTTCATTTCCAACCAAACTGGTCATACGCCCAATTTACTTCTCCACCCACTTTTCTTTGGCATTTTCATTATTGAAGCATGCAAATTGCTACCACTTTCCCTCAAATGACATGTTAGGCGAATCCCAAATTTGACCTTAGTGTTAACATACTACCATTTTACCGGTATTCGGAGATTGTTTTATACTCCTACCCTCCTATATTTTTTCCTCTCATTTGTCTTTTTACCGTGTTCAATACAATATTCATTAATATCCCTATTTATTTATAAATATATAATATAAAAAATGGTATTTTGAAATAAATCTATTGATATTAAATTTATATCACAATTCAATATATTTTTTTGGTAATTTGTCTTTAATGTTTTAAAATATCGACAACAAAAATCATTCTCGTCTCAGCTAATTGCCCGCCCGGTGCTGACGGATCGTCGAGGTTCATGTGTCATCCTTTGTTTTTAAATAAGGACAACAAAGACAACAAAAGTCAAACATAGAAGAAAGATTACTCCCTCCGTCCCTCAAAGATTACCACAGTTTGACATTTTTTGGTCAAACTGTAGCATTTTTTAACCACGAATTAAATATATTTTAAAATAATTAAATTTTGTAAAAAATTGATATTTCAAAAAACTATATTTTAAAATTAGCTCAATTTTACTAAATCTACATTAATACTAAATATAAGTTTTCCATAATCTGCGATCAAATTTGACCAAAAAATCAAATTGTGACAGTTTTTTTAGGGAGGGAGGGACAGAGAGTATTTATAAATGTCCGTGGAAAGAGTAATGTCAGGATTAAAGTTCTCCAAGCTTTATTGTATGCGAAGATGAAGTACGTACCTTTCATGATTTGGTGACCCCTAATGCAAATCTCGCCGGGTTGGTTCCGGGGCAAAGAGGACCCGGTTTCAGGATCCACAATCTTCAACTCCGCATTCCTAACAACGGTCCCAACCGAACCAGATTTGATCTCAAAAGGCTCTTTTGCAAAGGCTAAGCCCATTGCCAGCACCGACCCACCTTCTGTCATTCCATATCCCTACCATACACATTAATTATTTTCTTTTTCAATACTTATTACCACTACTATTAAACACATACCAAAAGTCACTTATTAATCGCGGCGCTGGTTCTCTCATATGCCTCTCTCAAAAAAGTGCATTGATTGTTTTTTAGGTATAAGAAATTAATGAGCTTCCACAATTCCAATAAAATTAAAGTTTTGTATTCTTTACTATAAAAATTAAACCTCTATGAAAGTAAAGTTATTCCCAACATTTACAATGAGAGAAAAAGACCCACTGTGCTTCTCAGAGGACGGGGCCAACATCGAGCACCCATTGCAGGCCGGAAATTGCATCTGGCACTGGGACGGAAGTTTTATATATAGAGCTAGATGCATTTGGAACCCATTACAGATCGAAAGCTATATATGGAGATAGTACTCCATTTAGCTTTTAACGTGTATAGTAAAAAGGACTGCATTTGGAGGTTGATGAATACTTGAAGGACTACTTAAATTATGAAACAATTATATTTAGTTATAATATAAATATAGGAAAATTATGTTTACATTAAAATATAGTTTTAAAATATAATATTTTCATAATACTCCCTCCGTCCCTAAATAGATTACAATTTTTTTTCTCTTTCCTCTCGATAACTTTTGTTTGTTTACGCAATTTCATTAAGTATTTGATAAAATAAAATACTCTTGTCATCTCTTGTTTTGTAGAACTTTTGACGTAGTTTTTTAATATGTAATTTTTATATCTTATTGATATACCAATTTGTAAATAAAATGATTTCAAAAAGTAGGAAATTTTACTCCGTAGCCCGCAATTTGTAATCAAATTGGGGACGGAAAGAGTACTTAATTATTTTAAATTATATTTAATTTGTGGTTAAAGAATTTCTTAATTTTATCAAAAAAATTCAAAATATGACAATATTTTTGAAAGAGTATTTTGAAACAATACAAAAGGTAGCTAGTACGCGGTACGGTGAAAGTTGAATAATCCTAAATAATTTTGAGCCATTCAGCCCACCAACCCAATATGATAAGTGAGTTCGGTTGAAGACAAAGAAAATATCAAACCTAATTAGGAAGTTGAATTCGAAATTGTGATCACCACCTACCTACCACACCAACCAAACCCAATATATTACTCCGTCCCTGAATAGATTACAATTTTTTTTTCTCTTCTCTTGATAATTTTTGTTTGTTTACGCGATTTCATTAAGTATTTAGATAAAATAAAATATTCTTGTCACTTCGTTTTTATAAAACTTTTGACGTAGTTTTTTAATATATAATTTTTATATCTTATTGATATACAAATTTGTAAATGAAATGATTTCAAAAGGTAAAAAATTTAATTACGTAGCGGCAATTTGTAATCAAATTGGGGACGAAAGCGAGTATGTATGAAAAAACCAGAGTTCACCAAATTTGTACTCGAATGGCACAATTACATACACAAGAGATAATAATTATTTTGCATTAATAATTACACCCTCCATTGTCCGGGAATGATGTTCCTAAGAGAGTGAATAGACTAAAATACCCCTGCACATTTCCACTCATCCCTACCTACCAAACACAGAATCCGCTAGCACCCACCAAACCCCCACAAATATTGTTTATAAATTAAATAAACGATATAAACAAATATCGTTTATACATTGCATTAACAATTATTGTCTATAAGTGACAATTATTGCATTAACAATTATTGTCTATATGTGACATACCTAGTGAGCAACTCTAATGGTAAGAGGTGTCTTGGAGAGGTATATATTTCATTTACCTCTCTAAATGATCAAGTTTACCTTTCCAAAAAGTGTGCAACTTCAATGGAGAAAGATAAATCAAAAGGCAAAAGAGGAAAAAAATTCATCTCCATACATTATTGGGAAAAAATTAGTTGATTTATCTTCTTAAATCCAATTTTAATTGTTAGAAGAGAAAATATACATTCTTAAAAAAATCATGGGAGGTAAATTTGAGGTTTGTTGCCTTTGTTTCTTCTTGATTAAATTTTTAAATTTAAAGATTATACAAAAATACAACTAATTTATTGAGAAAAAAAAATTAGAATGTCAGTTTTGAAATAGTTAAATATACATTATGTCTAATTATACATGTAAAGCTATAAATACCCGAATAGAAAAAACTTAAAAATACAGAGTGCAAGATTAAAAAACGAAGTATCTTTTTTTGTTAATTCTTGATTCGTTAAGTTTTACAATGACAAAGATACAAATTAATAATTTATAATAATACATTCAAGCAAAAATACAATAACTAAATTAATTAATGAAATAAATTTAAAAGGTGGGAAAAATTGATATACCTCCCCAAATGAAGAAGGTAAAGATGCCTCTTCAAAATTGAAGAAGGTATAATTACCTTCTTGTTTATCTCTCTCATTGGAGAATGATTTTTAATAAAAAAAATATCAAAAATATTCCTCTTTACTCTTTCATATATCCCTCCCATTGAAATTGTTAAGGCCTTTTGTTTATATTTATATGTATGGATAGCGATGATAAGTGCTTTCTTTAAAAAGGCACCGCACAATATCCTAATATTCTAATCTAACGACTTATTATGTCCCTATGGGCTATGGAGACTATTTTACCCATTTACACGTCATTTGTTATCTCCAACTATGGTGATCATATTGTAATGTATGTAGTGTTAATATTTCTAAAATTACAATGACTTCTTTTGGCATTTGATATTTCCCATTATATTTATGTAAAAAGAAAAAAAAAATCTGAGACGCCACCCCGAATTCTGATCGGGTCAGTTATTGCCCCATCCCAAATCATTGTAGACATGCTCAGAGTTTTTATCATATTGATTATTCGACTATGCTCAATTTATCCTTTTCTTTAATATCTCGAAAGATGAAAATAAATGTAAGGATTATGCTATGTGTACCCCAAGGTTTGTACCCCAATTTGTATCCCGTAGTTTTGCACCAACACTTTGTGTTGGTGTAAAACTAATTTTTGTTAAACGCACCAACATTTGTGTCCGTGTGAATATTTATTAACGCACCAACACTTGTGTCGGTGTAAACCATCGAAATGTTTGTGCAAGCCTGTGGTGTACAAATGGGGTATATTTTTTGGTGTAAGTGTAGCATGGTCCTAAATGTAAACACCTTTAAATACTCCATCGGTCCATCCGGTTCAAAATAGATTATAGCAGTGTCTTCTCGATAATTTTAATTGGTAATTACTTGTGCATTTTCATTTATCATTTGATTATATTGTTGTTGCTAGCTGTTGTCTTTTGTTATCTCTTATTTTAATAGACTTTATTCGTATATTTTTAAAAAGTAATTTTTTTAATTTTATTCAAATATGTGAAAAAAAATACTCCCTCCGTCCCAAAAAGAATGGGACGGTTTGACTTTTTGGGAAATTAAGAGAGGAATATTTTGGTATTGACTTTCCAAAAATATCCTTGATGTGATGGGTAAAAGTAGGATGTTATAGGTAGATTATTAGAAAAAAGGTATGATGTGATAGGTAGGGTATGAAAAAGTAAGGGGTACAAGTGGTTTTTTAATAGAAATGTAACGAACTTTACGGGACGCAGTTTTTTCTAAATGTAACAAACTTTTTGGGACGGAGGGAGTAAATTTTAACGACACAAGAAGTGGAATAATCTACGGTTTTGTCCATTACTATTTTAAAACTATATTTCAAAATTAATATATTGATGTTAAATTTACATGATAGTTCAATATATTTTTATATAACTTCTAGTCAAAATTTAAATTGCTTGACTAAAAAAGTCCTACTGAGAGGAAATTTATGGACCAAGGAAGTACTCTCTCTCGCCCAAAATGTTTATCATTTTATGTAAAATAAAGCAAAATTTTAAATTTTTAATTCATTTTATTTAAAGATTGATATATAAATTAAAAATAAACTTTAAATATTTCAAAAACTATATTAAAAAAATTTCAAAATAAGAAATGATAAGAATATTTTATTCTTTCGAGTAATAGATGAAAATGTACAAATAAACAAAAGATCATTTCCTAGCAAATCTAGCATTACAGAATTTTTCTCTAACGGTATCTTGGAGCTCCTTACCCAAGGGGGCGGCCCCGTACATGATAATTCAATAAAAAGATTTCATGATATGTAGTCAAAATTTAAAATGTTTGATTAAAACATTAAACTCGAGAAAAAACTTATAGACTAAGGTAGTATATGAAAAGGGGTATTCTTTTATTAAAAAAAGTGTGACAATCAAAGTAGTTAAATATGGACCAAAAGTTTATTCTCTTGAACTTATCTATTTGATTCTGATATCATTTGATTAAAGTTTTAATCTAAATGATTCTAAATATATTTAAAGATATTTTTCATTCTAATTTGGCCTAATCATATTCTAATAAGAATATATAATAAATAACAATAAGTTAAAGCACGAAACTCAAAAGAGTCTTTCTTACCTGACCAAATCTAGCGTTAGAGAATTTTTCTCTAAGGGTATCCTGGAGCTCCTTACCCAGCGGGGCGGCCCCGGACATGACAACCCGAACGGAGGAAAGGTCGTAATCGTCCACCAAAGGGCTCTTAGAAATGGCCAAAACGATGGGCGGGACCAAGGGCGTAACGGTAACTTTGTACTTCTGTATGAGCTCAAAAAACGGGGCAATCTCAAACCTCTGCATGATCAGGATCTGGGCCCCGACCCGCAACCCGCAGAGAAATATGGACATGGAGTAAATGTGGAAGAAGGGTAAAACGCAGAGGAGGGCGTCCTCCCCGTGGAGGTAGAAGTGAGGGTTTTCCCCTTCCACGTGTTGCGCCACGCTGGTCACCAGTCCCTTATGCGTCAGCATCACCCCCTTCGGGAGCCCCGTCGTCCCGGAGGAATACGGAAGCGCCACCACGTCCTCCGGATCAGCTTCCACCGCCGGCGCCTCGCCTTCGTCTGCCCCCGCCAGCTCCGAGAAGTGGAGGCACCCGTCCACCGCCGCATCTGTGCACACCACCTTGATTTCTCTCTCCCCTGCATATTCTTTCACCTGTAATAATAATAATAATACATTCCAATTAATTTTATATCTCCTTCATTATTTTCAATATTATTCCTCAGCTGTAATTAGTCAATTAAAGACAAATTGCATTTTTAAGATATACGGAGTTATTTTTATTATATGTTTTTAGAAGATGAATCCCAAAAATCTACCAATTTATTTAGAAAAAAAAATCAAACTAAACATATAAATATACTCTACGACTTTGGTTTTTTTAGTTCTAATTCTTAACTTCCACCATTTTTCAGCCTTTTTATCCAGTTTCTTTCAACCTTTTTCACTTCTTTTAATATCTTCAAACACCTTCTTGATTTTCTCCTTTTTTTTTCAATTTCTTACAAATTCATCTAATTTCTTTGAACCTCTTCCATTTTTTCCTATTTTTTTCCAAGAGTGACTAAAAAAATTACTTAGATATATTTTCATATTATTTACGGATTATATTATTCTATTATTATTACTATTATTATTATTATTATTAGTCTTGGTAGAGTTGAAAAATTGATGTAATGTCATAATTTAATAAAAAATTCATTTGTCCTCAAAATAAAGTCTAGTTTAATACTCCTTCCATCATAAAACGTTATTCCCAGTTTGATAATTTCTTTTAATAATATAGTGATTTGCTTTGTCGAGCCCCTAATAAAAATAATTTTTTAGTGACCCACCCTAATTAATAACAATGGTTGTGCATCATATTTTATCCATTTTCTTAAAGCAACATATTTTATCCATATATTTGAAGTGACCCATCCCAATTTCTTTTTTAGTACCCCTTCTTTCTGAAGTTATTCGAAGGTCTGATCTACTTCTTATATGATTTTTTTAGCACTATATATGTATGATTTTATTGAATTGTTTTTTAATTTAATGTATTTATTTATAAGTGCAATGTTTCAGATTAGAATTTACACCTCCCTCCTTTAGATGCTTGACTAAAATTTACCAGGTCAAAATTGTCATTTGACGCTCTAGCTAAAAGGTTATCCTATGGAAGATTTTTGTTGTTGTATTCTCGTTGAAATTGTCGTCATCCTAAGATTCACTTGTAAAATATGAACTTTTTTTACATTTTTAATAAATTGACAAGTAATATATTTTCTTTTTTGCAAAAAATCCCAATTTTTAATGATATCAATGCACTACAATCCTTAAAATAAACATGAATTTTAAGAGCACGCGCGTAAGAATTAACTCATTTCCTGGATGATTTTGAGAGAAAGAAAGGATTGTTTCTATTTTTAATATATTAATAACATACAGGACCCAATACTCGTATATGTTACTCCCTCCGTCCACCTAGGATCTTCCTATTACGCGTTATGAGGTTTGACCGACTTTATTTTTAATTCAATTTAATTGATTATAGGAGTAAAATTTTAAAATAAAATGTACTCCCTCCGTCCCATGAAACCTTTCTCCATTCTTTTTTTATCTGTCCCACAAAACACTTCTCATTTCTATTAAAAAGTCACTTTTTCCCCTTACTTTTTCATACTCTAACTATCACATCATACCTTTTTACTAATAATCTATCCTTCAAATCATACTTTTTGGAAATTCAATACCAAAATACACTTCCCTTAAATCCCTTCTAAAAAGCAAAAGTCTCATGTTTCATGGGACGGAGGGAGTATATAGTAATAAACTACATGAAATGTTCTACAAAATTAGAGGTGACAAGACTATATTATTTTACAAAATGACTAGTAAAAAAGAGCAAGCAAAGTAAGTGAAGTTTGACCCTATGAATAGAGAGAGTAATTATTTGTGCATTTATAATTAAGCGAGATGATCGTTTTGGGCATTTTTTCCACCATACACAAAATGAAATTGTAGATTGATAAGACTAGTTCCAAATAATTGAATTTTGATACTCTCTACGTCCCCAAATAAATTTTCCTTTTTAACTTTTTGAGGATTTAAGTGAGGAATATTTTTGTGTTGACTTTCAAAAAATAAACTTGATGTGATGTGTAAAAGTAAAATGTGATACGTAGACTATTAGTAAAAAAGTATGATGTGATAGGTAGAGTATGAAAAAGTAAGGGATAAAAGAATTTTTTTGGGAAAAGAGAAGTTTATTTGGGGACCAAGAAAAAACGAAAGGAAAAGTTTATTTGAGAACGGAGGGAGTATATAAAAGTTGTAAAATGATTTTATTGATTTATATTGTTGAAAAAAATTTTAAAATTATATTTTATTGTATTAATATGTAATACAAAGTGAGAGTATAAATGATTAAATTTGTCGAGTTGCCTCCAAAAAATCAAAGTCGAAAACAAACTAAGGAAATATGAAATTAACAAAATGTTTAAATAAAAATTACTCCGTCCATCCTAAATTAAGATTTTTTTTACTATTCACATGATCAATCTTTATTTACTTTCTTTTATTATTTTCGTTACTCATTTGATAAAATTGTATACTCATGCCATCTCAAGTTTGTGGATTTTTTTATTTAATTTTTAAATATTAATTTCTTTTTTTAATTACTACATCCCATAAGTTATATTGAAAATTAAATTTGGTTAAACCCCAAAAACAGAAAATTGAAGTATTGAAAATTAAATTGAGTTAAACCCCAAATTGGAACGGAGCAAGTGATTTTCAAACACTTCTAAATAACAAACGTTTGTTACCATACCTTGTTGACGTTGCAGGCTTGGGTAACGATGAGCCTTGCGTTGGACGCTTTGACCTGCTTGACCACCTCCGCCGGCGTGAACATGGGGTTGGCCATTGTGGCGATCGCGCCGCCGTAAGACGCGCCGAGGAACGTGAAGATGTACTCCGGCGAGTTGGGGAGGAGGATCATGACGGTGTCGCCCCGGTTGATCCCCTGCTTGTGGAGCCCGGACGCGACTCTCCGGCACGTGAGTTCCACTTCCGCGTAAGTGTAAATCCGGTCGTCGGAGCCGTTGATGAGGCAGGGGCGGTCCCGTAGTTGGGAAATGTTCTGGAAGCAGTAGGAGTGGAGAGGGAGGTGGTTGGGGATGTGGATGTCCGGGAGCTTTGACCGGAAAATGAAGTCGCCGGCGGCTTGTTCGGTCGGGGCGCCCATTTTAATAATGTAATGCAGCTGTATGTTTAGAGAGAGAGAGAGAGAGAGAGGAATAGATATTGGGAGGGAGGTAGAGAGTATATTAGTATATAGGTGGTTGGTTACGTAACGTGTGTCCTGAAATATGAAATGTGGAATGGGTGCAGGAGCAATATAAATGTGGTGAGGGAGGTGGGGGTTGGTGAGGGACTTGATGGGCATTATGTGTTGTTGAAGGGCAGATTCGTGGGAAATACAAATGCTCTAAAAAGTCCACTTTTCTTTATTTATCCCAAAAAATTCAAATACTTGATCTAAACAAGGGCAAAAGGATTGGGACCACAAAGAGCGACTGGGATCGACTAGGATCGAGACGCGAAAGATTGAGACGGAACTAGTCCTTGAGACTAGTCCGGTCTAAGACCGATAATCTCAAACAATCCTTAGTTTGTAAGGGGGGCTAAGACTAGTCTGAAACTAGTAAAGGACCTATAGAGGACTTGGGTATGTCTGAGATTGGTAAATAATCAGTCTAAAGACTAGGACCGGTCCAAAAGACTGATCATCCAAGGACTACATTAAGAAAATTTAAAAAAAAGGTACTAACTATTAGCAAAGCATATTAAATTCAAATAGAAATAATATCTAAATCAAATTCCCAGACATGCATTCGTACATGCCATCACTCTCGCAGTCCTCCAGGCTTGGATCCTTATTCATCAATTCCTTTACCTACGTGTATGAACTAAAACAAATTACATGCCCAGCTTTCACGTTGAGTGAGAGGTTTTGACAGTATAAGTCACACATAGGATTAATTCAAAATGCATAATCACTCATAAGATTCCATGCACCAAATAATATCACATAACAACATCAGGTAATATCAACAACATCATGACACTTACCTTAACTATTTGGTTGCATCATTTATCAACTCAACATTCACGTATGTACTAAAGTTCATCTCTAGCAGTTGTTCATAACCTATTCTAGGCTAATAAGGTTATTTGAGTAACAACACAGACACATACACAATTTGGCGAAGGTCACGCTCTAACTGGCGAGAATCTCACCTGGGCAGGTGGAACTGTAATGCCCCGAAATATACCCTAGAATTTTATACGGGGTGCGAACAGTCTGGCCGCTTCAGAAGGGATTTCCTGGCCAATCCTGATTCTTCGTTCCCTATTGCCACAACATCGAGGCATATGCCTACTACCAGATTTTCGCAGAGCGAGCGGACGACCGCTGCATCCCAACATCCACATAGATTGCAGCAACCGGCTACTTAAGAGCAAGCTAGAGCTTCAGTTAGGACATATGCAACTGATCCTGATCAAGACATTTAATACGGTACATTTCTATTTGCGCGGTAGATGTGATTAATACTAAGTGATATTAAGGTTAATACAATACGTATGTGTGTATCCTTATCTAATTACATGTGAGATCACGAGAAATGGGAATGATTTCCTAAGACGACGAAAAGTCCACGAGAACCCAGTATCTTTGTTCGTTTCTACATCAACGACTTAGAGAATTCCAAGGACGAAATTATTTTAAATGGGAGAGAAATACCACATCTGAAATAAATCATAGAATTGTATGATGAGTTTCTAATAAATCACAATTCTAATTTCCGTTTGAATTAAATAAAAATAGAAACGAGAGTACTAAAAATAATGTATTTTCAAAGTGTAGGTCTTGCAAAAAGATGACTAATGACATATTGTTTGTCAAGTCCAGACTTACGTGTAAGAAGTTATGTGTAACACCCTAATCTGTCCAGGTCTGCAGCTATTTTCGAACTAAAGTACAAACCGGGTAATTATAATGTAGAAATTATTGGATGTGAAACTTGCGTTTTCCATTAGTCACAGGAAGTATATATACATGACGGAGTATACTAGCTACGGGCCCATAATGTACATAGCCCAATACATGATAAACGAATATTTACAAAATATACTACGCTAACACTCCCCCTCAAGTTGGAGCATGAATATCATAAATGCCCAACTTGGACAACAAACTGTGAAAAAGAGGACCGCAGAGAGCCTTTGTGAAGATGTCCGCTGTCTGAAAACGCGTAGGAACATAAGCAGTGACAATATGATTGCGCTGAAGGCATTCCCGGACTATATGACAATCGATATTAATATGCTTCGAACGCTCATGAAATACTGGATTAGCGGTAATGAACAAGGCAGACTTGTTGTCACAATATAAACGAGGAGTCGCTACACAAGGAACGTCTAAGGCGGCCAAGATCCCACGCAACCAACGGATTTCGGCACAAGCATTTGCCATAGCTCGATACTCAGCCTCTGCAGAAGATCGAGAAACTGTAGTCTGCTTCTTTGTGCGCCATGAGACTGGAGAGCCACCCAATAGAATGAAATAACCACTCACAAAATGTAGAAGTCATACCATTCATTTGATTGGACGAAAAAGAATCAATCACAGACATTAACCAAACCATTTTATCTCCACACAATTCGGCAGCCATGGTATGAGATTTTTTTTTTGAGAGTTCTGCTGCAATTGACCGCTGAAGGGTGAAAGAGCCGGCTGAAATTGACGGCTGAAGGACGGAGGTCGATGAAGACAGCACGAACGAATCTGCTGGGACAGACCTGCTGGGCGGATCGCTGGACGGGCGGATCTGTTGGGATGGATCGCTGGAAAAGACGGACGGGTGCATCTGGATGGGCGGATCTGCTGGAATTGAATTCGATGTCGGCGAATCTAGACAAGAACGGACAGAAATCTGCCCGAATTGTGGATTACGAGCGGCGAACAGACGGCTGACTTGTCGGCGGACGAACAGACCTGACGATGCTGGACGGACGAAGCTTGACGGACGAAGCTGGACTGGAACAAACCTTCTGGATCTGTTCAGCGAAGGAGGAGGGCCGACGAGCTCTGACTCCGACGCACCTACAACGAACAGCACCGCCGAGAGAGACAGACGGGCGGCGCACCAATCGACACGAGAGTAGGGGTTTGGAAACTAACCCTGGGATCGCTCTGATACCATGTAGAAATTATTGGACGTGAAACTTGCGTTTTCCATTAGTCACAGGAAGTATATATACATGACGGAGTATACTAGCTATGGGCCCATAATGTACATAGCCCAATACATGATAAACGAATATTTACAAAATATACTACGCTAACATATAAAATTTAAAACAATTCAAATATTTTTATTTGTCATAAATATTATTGAATACATAAACAGTAATAATACAGAGTATTTAATATTACGGAAGTGAATTAAAATATGTCACATAGCAATCACAAATAATTATTCCACTCTTTTAAAATCATAATTCAAATTGTCACATCCATCCCAACAATCTCGCCCCATCTTCCGACAGGATCATGTCACATCATTCTCTTCGTTTCCCTGCGTGTTGCAAATAAAACATACTACACGCTCAGCGGTGAAGCCGAGTAAGGATATCTAATGCATCGAACATCCATATAAATAGAATCTCAATTCATGATCAAATTATTTGATATCATGCACATAATATTCAGTTCAAGTATTCATCATACAATATTCAATTCGGGTCATTTCATAACATGTTCAATATTCACTTTTCATACTGTCAATAACATCCTTAAATTATTCTTAATCCAAGGCCAAATCATTTTGATAACAATGCTCTTATACTATTCTTAGTCTAAGGAAATATTTCTAACCAGGATCTTAAACTATGATTAGTTTAAGGCAGAACACAAGAATCGATGATTCATCATACTAGTATTATGGATCACGCTCCAACCGAATAGTGGACTATCAGGCGGGTGATATCCCCAAACGAGTGATCCTCAAGTTTGGTTTGGAGTTCTTTGAGGTCTTCTAGATACCCTTAACAGTACACATTATTTTCATAACCATCAATATATTCATTTTTAATCATGATTCCATCATCCATAATTATCATTTTAATTAGAATATTCATTAAAGTTTGGTCGTAAACAACATTAATAATAATCATCGTAATATCCAATAACAAATAACAGCCTAGAGTCGAGTGTTCACACTCTAGCTTACCGTCATGCATCAAATAAGGTTCTTGAATTTGTCAAAACATCATATTTATTTCAAAAAATCATTTTTATATTGATCATAATCGATTTGTATAAAAAATGGGATTGAATAGTTCAAAAATTGGGTTTTCTGGAAAATTTCGAGATCTGGACGGTACACGTTACGGTACCTCGATACCGTGTAAAACCCCAACCCGAGTAACCCGAAACAACGAGTTAGCGAGTCGGGTTGCTACTAATTTGGTATTCACATGCATAATATTTTTAAAATATTTAATAATAAATATCAAATCACATTTATTTAAAAACAATCCATAATTAATCGGAGTAAATAGTTCAAACGCTGCAGAAGCCTTGAAAACAATATTCAACATTCTAGTAATTTAAATAAACAAATTCAACAAAATATATTTAATTTAAATAAAAAAGCTTTAGCCATCCGCCAGCGACACGCTTCACTGTCCTCCAAGCTGCTTCTCATCCAATCCTTGATCCCTACCTGAAAAAATAGGGAGAGTGGAAGTATATAACGCTAAAACTAACTCATAGACTAGCACCCATTAATATATCATCAAACAATATCAGAAGAATCGGCAAATATCATTATCCAACTGTACCACTAATTATCCTTTATAATTAAATTTTGTTCTTACGAATACTTACTCCATCTGCCTGCTAGATATAATCCAATTCATAGTTACGGGAGTAATGGAATCCAGACTCTCGCCCGAACCCACACTCATAACTCCAAAGTTCTCACAATGGAGGGGGTTGAGGCCCCCGCTGGCTCTCGCCAGGGGTCATTGACCACCGTGCACACGTTTTTAACCCTCGAGACCACCAGGCGTACGATGTCACGTGCATGACCTTAATTTCTAATCTCAAACCTATTTGTGATTTTCAATATATTCACCGAGTGAGCTTAAGAGAACGAACAACAGAACAAGCATGGAGAGAAAAGAGGCAAAGAAAGAAACGAGAGGGAGAACGGAATAACAGAGAAGAGAGGGGACATGAGCAGGAGACAAGTACGAGCATATCAATTCATAAAATCAAGGCATACCCTCTAATTCCCCTAAAATCAAATTCAAATAACCCATGATTTCGACAATTCAATTCACTAATTCATCAACAATCAAACAACAATACAATAATCATATCCACGAACTTAACATCAATTGAATGAAAATATATTAATGAATCCTAATCCACGAACTAATTTTAACGAGAGATAAATCACTCACCTCGATTAATCAGAGATTCCCAAACCTAGGATTGAAGAATGGTGCTGACCTAGATCTCTTTCCTTCCCGTCACACCCTTAATCACGCACAAAAAAAAGGAGAACAGACACCGGCAACGATGGTGGACGTCTGGCGACGGGCGGCAAAGAAAGTGGAAGAAGAAGATGGGAACAGCGACTGGGTTAAAATCCGTGTTGGTGATTTTAGTGTCATCAATTTATTTTGTGTAATTGGATTTACTTCGATCGGACAAGAATTTAAATAGACGTTGTCAAACGAGTTAGGAGGCGCGGAGTGCGTGCTCGTTCAACGATATTATAAATTCACTGCGGGGTCTGGAAATATTATGAAGTGACGGAAATAATAGCATGCATGCAGAGAGTCTCTGGTGACTCCTCGGTTGCTCCGCCTAAGCTGTCCCAGTTCGTCCAATCCGCCAAGACATCTTCTATTTAAGGAGGCCTTGGTCCAGTGAAGAAGCACTTGAAATTCTGTGTGTCCAATATTCTTCTTTCGCTTTCAATATCTGATCAGTTTTTCGGCAAATATCTACCGCTCTAGACCTTGCACGTTGCGGTTTTATCCTAGGAGGAGATTGCCCATGTTTGCTAGTGCGGGAGGCGGGAAATACTACCTTAAGCAAAGCTCCGACGACTCCGCTTTCCTAACCTCTATTTCCAGAAGCTGTTCCGGTTTGCCTCTACCTCCCGTCTGACGTCTCTACTCGACGGTCAAGATACCTGCTCCGTTTGACTCCTTCCTCTGTCCGTTCGTGTTCCTGCGCTGTTTGTTCGTGCTCTTGCCACTGTCCATTCCTGTTCGATCTTCATGAAGATTCCAATTTTTTTTCCATTGTAAAATCCGAACGCTTTATAAGTTTGGATTAATATCTTTTTATTCCCGCTGTAATATTTAACACCAACCACCCAGTGGCGGAGCCAGGGAATACTTCATGGGGGGGGGGGCAAAATTTCTTTCTCAAAGTAACACAACAGACAATCTGATAAAAGCTTATCTCCCAAACGGTTGTGTAAATCAGTCTTGACAATATTCATCGCAGCAAACGGTTGCGTAAACGGTTACAACAATCATCTCAATATAATACATCAAATAAAGAATAATTATAATAATTATAACTTATTTAATATTTTAAGATATTAAAATACTTCCAAAAATGATATCAAAATTTAAATTTAATAAGAGTAATATATCTTTTCAAAGATCTCTCCACGAAAATGCACATAAGAACATTCTGCACTTGTTACCTTAAGAACACAGTCTTTAAATCTGCTTGCTGATAAATATGGGCACAGTTTTCCATAACTAGTACCAAAATCAGAACAAATCCTATCACATGCTTGCCTAAAATCAGCTTATTAACAGAGTTTATATATGAAAGTAATTCCAGAAAGTATAGATTATGTTTGGTTTTAGGAATTTGGAATGAAAAGAAAAGGAAATGCTTTCTCTCATTCTCTTCACTAGAATGGAATGAATTTGGTTTTCCTTCATCTTACTACATTTTGTTTTCTCATATTCTTTTTTTCTTTTCACTTTACTTTTTTTTCTAACCAAACATGAAAAATTATTTTCTTTCTCATATTCTTTTTATTTCTCTTTCAAATTTCTTGAACCAAATATAACGATCAAACTTAAAAAAGACCCATACATTCACCTAAGAAAAAGACCAATATGTAAGAATATGAGTTACACTCCATATTGACAATTGGTTTTTGAATTAGAATCAAGCAGTTTTGAGTGTAAAATCATAGCTTAGGAACTCAAAAAAGAAGTTTTTTAGTCCCACATAGAATATTCAGTATAAAAATTAAACACAATAATATATAAGAACATGAATTGCTCCTCTCGGTGACAGGTTATTTTGGATTGAGATCTCACAATTTTACAGTATGGGTAATTAATTTATAACTAAGCTGCAAAACCCAAAATTAACCCAATAATAACACGTGAATAAAAAAACATTAATTAATTAATTTCCGCCCTTTCGTCCTTTCTTTTGCAGAGGCAGCAGCGGAATAACCAAATAAGCGTCCAGGCTCTAGAGTCCAGCCGGTACCTGAGGCGATGAGTACTCCGTATTTTTTTGGGCAATTGGGCTACTGGGCCGTGGAGTGTTGGGCTGGGTCGAAGAAATTATTTTAAACCCATTGTCAAAACGACGTCGTTTTGCGTTTTTTCTTCTTTAGAACCTAATTCGTCTTCTTTGATCGGCTGGCGACGACTCGAGCACGTTGCGTCGCTGCGACAAGTCTGGGGCAAATCTTGCCTCCCATCGCTGAATCAGGTACCCTATTNGGGCACATGCCCAGGCATTCCCCCCCCCTCCGCCCCTGCAACCACTGTTAATCATAATATCACTATAAAATTTCTTTGGTTGCATTCTAGAATTTTAGTCAACTAATATATACTGATTGTATATTTATGGATATTGTCTCTTTGTGTTACGAGTTCTCCACCGGGGGATGACGGACCAGTAGAAGATGAATGTGGGGAACCAACTCAGGACAGTAACGACGGGCATCTGGGGATGCGGGGAACCCGGTGCGCAGGGGCACAAGAACGAGATGACCACCGACATGGCATGCAGACTACGACACGTAGTTATTTTTAGTTGCACTATTATTATTTTATTATTATTGTTATATTTATTAATTGTAATAGATTTTCTTAGGAGAGCGGTCTATAAGCTCCTTCAAGGGTTTTCTTTTCGGTTCTTTCCCTTGACCCCCTTTTTGAACCGACAGGTTAGATTAGGGTTAGGGTTTTCACCTATAAGTTGAGATGTACCCAACGAGATTAGCATATTGAAGAATAATCAAAAACCCTAATTAGTCTACTCTCTCTCTCCTCTCATGCGGCGCACCTGGTACGTCTTTCTTATTCTCCCTCGCCTCAACTTCCTGGAGCTCGTAGACGCTCGAACTCTCTCCCAACCGATACGAGTCTGTATCATTGGTGCTCTCGTTGATATTGTTCGACCATGTCCGTTTCCTAGAACCCTCTCGCGGACAAAATAACGGCAATTGAAGCTCGCTTCAAGGAGTTGCATGACTCTTTGCGGGAGATGGTGACGTAACTGCAGCGTGTCCAATTGATACGAATATCGTATCAGATAGGGAAGAACTTCGAGCATTCTTCAAGCTTCAAGAAAATTAGGTAGAGAAAGATGGAAAACTTCGAGCGTTTCTGGGACTCCAAGAGAATAGAGAAAGAGATTAGGGTTTTGATATTTCTTTATTGATTTCATAATAACGAGAAAGGATTACAATATATAGAGAGTAATACGGTAATAGAAAATGACCTAATGGGCTCGGGCCCGTACTAAAGTAACTAAACCCTAAACTAGATTAAATATAAATTATTAATAAATACTACTAATTAATAAATAATATAACTAATCTATTATCATATCATTCTCGCCCCCTTAAAAACCGCTTTGTCCTCAAGGTGGAGGTTCCCACTCAAGCTTTTGGACATGTGAGAACATGCTAAACAAGAAAAGATGTCCAATTGTAGACCAATCTTCAAGAAGCTTCTCAGCTGAAGTAAAGCGGTAGAAATAAAAGAGATGACCAAACTTGCATTGAACTATTTTCTTTGAACCCAAGTTCTCATACTCGATAATATCAGCAAGCTCAAATAATTTGATGGTGTCAATCAAAATAAGTGAGCATGCTTGCTTACCATCTGTATCTGCCACTTTATCAACACTTTTTGGAACATCATGCTTTGGAATGACCACTCCAACTGTGGTATAAAATTCCTGAAAAGTAGAATCTGGCTTGTCGATATTAGCAACATCTTCTGCAAGAGGACATTCATTTTTTTCCACAACATTAGACCTCTCGTCATCTTTGTTTATTGCTTCAGGCCCGGTGTCCACTTCATCTCCAACGTGTGAGTCAACGCTTGATTCCTCCTTGGGTGCTTGATCATGTGCTTCAGTGTGTTGGTCAAGTACTGGAGAGACCAGATTTGGCGTAGAAGGTGGAGTATCGATGAGAATTTTAATAGCGTCCAACATGTTTGTTCTAAAGTTTTGTAACTCCCAAGGAATCAAACTTAGAAAAATTGGGGGACCACAAATCAAATCTTGTATGGAGCAAGAGATTCCTACATCAAATGCGTTCAAGTCGGAGTCATAATTTAGCTGACCAGAAGTATGACGAAACGACCGGAGCGTCTTTATAAGTTCATCTACATGATCATAAACTCCACACACTCCTTCGTCTCGATCAATTTCTCCATATAGAACATCAAGCAAACCAATAAGTGCGTCCAATGCATTGGTACTCATAATCAAAATCTCTAACCGTGCAAATTGGGCCTCCATCCGTAATAAAAAATTTAACTTGATTTTGGGAGGCACAAGTTTAGTGATTTTGGGCTCAATAATTTACTGACTTTTGCTCTCTTCGAGCAGCAGAACATGGCAAGTTCAATTTGACGGCTTGCTGCGACAGTGGCGATCTTCTACGGTGGTGATAGAGGCAGTGGACGATGGTGCTAATTTAGGGTGGAACCTCAACTCTCTGATCTGCAATTGAAACAAAATGGATGGGATTTGCTAACGCAATTCATGGCAGCAGCGAGGTGCGCGGCAGCGAAGCAATTTCTGGTCGGCGGCAATGAATCTGGCTCACAAGCACAACTTTTTCTAAATTAAATCAAAATTGGAGTGGGGCAGGTGGTGAAAAATCAAAATGGCAGAGACGAACCAAGGTTGGAGTTGAATCACCCTATGAGTTCACAAATGATTTGTTTTTTTGTTTTTTGGAAGATCTCTCAATGAAAGCACCAATTGATACGAATATCGCATCGGATAGGGAAGAACTTCGAATGTTCTTCAAGCTCCAAGAAAATTAGGTAGAGAAAGATGGAAAATTTCGAGCATTTCCAGACTCCAAGAGAATAGAGAAAGAGATTAGGGTTTTGATATTTCTTTATTGATTTCATAATAATGGGAAATGATTACAACATATAGAGAGTAATACGGTAACAGAAAATGACCTAATGGGCTCGGGGCCGTACTAAAGTAACTAAACCCTAAACTAGATTAAATATAAATTATTAATAAAGACTACTAATTAAATATAAATTATTAATAAAGACTACTAATTAATGAGCTATGTTCATTGCCTTCCAGACTCACGACGGTCATTACGAATTTCTTGTTATGCCATTTGGTCTTACAAATGCACCCTCAACCTTCCTAGCGTGTATGAACCAGCTGTTTGCTCCTTATCTCCGGAAATTTGTCCTCGTGTTTTTCAATGACATATTGATTTATAGCGCCAACTTGTCCACCCATCAAGCTCACCTGCATAGGGTCCTCAATACTCTTCGGGACCAAGTCTTCTTTGTGAAACGCTCTAAATGCTCATTTGGCCAGAGATCTATCTTTTATTTGGGGCACCTGATCTCGGCTGGACAATTGCACGTTGACACTGATAAAATTGCAGCCATGATCAACTGGCCGAATCCCATAACACTTCGGCAGCTGAGGGGTTTCTTAGGCCTCACGGGCTATTATCGCCGATTTGTTCGAAATTATTCTCACATCGCAGCCCCGCTGACCGATATGCTGAAGAAGGACGCCTTCCACCAGACCACCGCGGCTGCCACTGCCTTCCAAGAGCTCAAGGCAGCCATGAGCTCCGCTCCAGTACTACGGTTGCCTGACTTCTCCTCTACTTTTGTTATTGAGACAGACGCGTGTGCAATGGGTATCAGTGCAGTTCTCCTACAACACGAGCAACCTATTGCTTATTTTACCAAGAAATTGGGGCCAAGGAAACATGCGGCATCAACATACCACAAGGAACTCTTAGCCATTGTAGAGTCTGCACAGAAGTGGCGACAATATTTGTTGAGCCGCGAATTCTTGATACGGACGGACCAACGTAGCCTGCGTGAGCTGCTGCATCAAGTGGTCCAGACGCCGGATCAGCAATACTATATCCGTAAGTTGATGGGTTTTCAGTTCCGAATTGAGTATAAAATGGGAGCATCAAACCGAGTTGCGGATGCTCTCTCCCGGCGGGCGGAGTCGGAGGACCCAACGGCTACCCTTTGTAATCTTTCACACCCCTTGCCAACTCTTATGGAAGACATCCGCCGTGAGAACCAATCCAAACACGATCTACGCCACTTACATGAGGCCGCCACCAAGGGACGTTTGCCACCAGAATACTCAATTACTGATGGTATCCTATACTTCCGCCGTCGGATCTGCATTGGTAAGGACTCGTCCATACGCACCCAACTCTTGCGGGAATACCATGGTTCCCCATTGGCGGGCCACCCGGGTGTGCAACACACGTTTTACCGCCTCGCACAGAGTTTTTTTCGGCGGTACGTCCAACGCCATATTGAAGCCTGTCTTCCATGCCAAGCTACCAAGTACTCTACTCAGCCCCCTGCCGGATTATTGCAGCCCTTGAAGATACCATTTCAGGTGTGGGATGACGTATCAATGGATTTTATTACGGGCCTTCCATCCGTGCAAGGGTATTCTGTGATTTTGGTGGTAGTTGACAGGCTGTCTAAATACATTCATTTGGGTCCCTTGCCTGCCACTTACGACACACCAAAGGTGGCAATAAAAATGTATTTTAAAAGTAGAATTAGATTGACATTGTCAATGTATTTTAAAAATAATTTTTTCGATGTCTAATAATTAAGGATTAATTTCTCAGTTTTCTATTTAACTTGTTTCTAAAGTTTATTTTTTTTCATTTTAAATAATAATAATAATAATAATAATAATAATAATAATAAGAACAACAACAACAACAACAAGAACAACAATAATAATAATTCTTTATGGGATCTGATCTGATTTGTTCTGGTCTCATCTGATCTGATTGGATCTGATATGTTCTAATCTGATCTGATCTGATCTGATTCGATCTGATCTGATTTTAATAAGAATAAGAAAAAATAAGTTGAACGGAACAGGGCCTTAGTGGCACAACATTGCATATTAGCACGGCGTTCCACCCACAAACTGACGGTCAGACCGAAGTCATGAACCGCGGCGTGGAAGAATATCTACACGCGTATGTCGTGGAGAAACCCAAACAGTGGTTGCTGCTCTTGCCGTGGGCCGAATTCGCCATTAATACCAGCTACCATTCGGGCCTGCGCATGACTCCGTTCCAAGCCTTATATGGTCGTGCACCGCCGTCAATTTTGCCATATTCTGGTGGGGAGTGTGAGGTGCCAGCTGTTGATGAACTCTTGAGCGAACGGACTGCGTTGTTGCACCGGCTCCGGGATAACCTTCATGCCGCCCAAGAACGTATGCAAGCAGTGGCCAACACCCACCGTCGTGACGTTCACTTCGACGTCGGGGACTGGGTTTTGCTGAAATTGCAGCCCTATAGACAGCATTCGGTGGTACGCCGGGGTTCCTAGAAGCTTGCACGCAGATTTTACAGGCCTTACCAGATTCTTGAACGCATTGGGTCGGTCGCCTACCGGTTGGACCTGCCCGCCAATTCCAAAATCCACCCAGTATTTCATGTCTCACTCCTCCATCCCTTTCGCAGAGATTTGGCTACGGTGACACCCCTTCCGTTGCCTGTGGATTTGGTGGACAGTCGGCCTCCTTCTCGGCCACTAAAGACACATGCATGGCAGACCACACTCGTTCATGGAGTACCAGCGCAGCAGGTATTGGTTGAGTGAACGGAGGGTGGCTTGGATGACGCCACTTGAGAGGGCGATGGATGTTCTTCGACGGCATTATCCCGATATGCACCTTGGGGACAAGGTGCCTTTTGAAAAGGGGGGAATGTTACGAGTTCTCCACCGGGGGATGGCAGACCAGTAGAAGATGAATGTGGGGAACCAACTCAGGACAGTAACGACGGGCATCCGGGGATGCGGGGAACCCGGTGCGCAGGTGCACAAGAATGAGACGACCACCGACATGGCATGCAGACTACGACACGTAGTTATTTTTAGTAGCACTATTATTATTTTATTATTATTGTTATATTTATTAATTGTAATAGATTTTCTTAGGAGAGCGGTCTATAAGCTCCTTCAAGGGTTTTCTTTTCGGTTATTTCTCTTAACGCCTTTGTTGAACCGACAGGTTAGATTAGGGTTAAGGTTTTCACCTATAAGTTGAGATGTACCCAACGAGATTAGCATATTGAAGAATAATAAAAAACCCTAATTAGTCTACTCTCCTCTCCTGCGGCGCACCTGGTGCATCTTTCTTCTTCTCCCTTGCCTCAACTTCCTGGAGCTCGGAGACGCTCAAAGTCTCTCCCAACCGATACGAGTCCGTATCACTTTATTTTTCCTTGAGTGAGCAGCTTCCATCTACCTTCTTGCCTCATCTACTCTACAAATAGCTTATTGTAGAGAAAGGAGAGGGACATTCAATTCTATTCCCACAAAACTAAGTACACTCTAGAGAGTGAATAAGACGTATATATTGAGACTCGAGAGATTTTCCTATTCTAAAACATACTCTGTTGTGTTTTTCTAACTCTTATCGTTATTTATATCTCATATTGCATGACCAGTCAAATATGGTTGACCCATTTAGTCATAATCTGTTTATACCTGGAGGAATTCACATCATCACATCTGGTTCTTCTCAGCGTCACTGATCAGTACAACTGTGACATTGGTCAACAATATCTTTCTCGGACATTCCTCAAGAGCCACTGCAATATACATGCCAAAATCTACTAACGGGCTGTTTGGCAACTTCTGAATAGGTAAGTGCTGAACCAGTAAGAGGTCTGAACCATTAAGTGCTGAACCAGTTAGAGGTCTGAACCATTAAGAGCTAGTATATTGCTTAACTATTCAGAGGCAAATGTCTGATCAATTCAGATAAGAGGTCTTAACCATTCAGACTCTGTATAATACTTAACCATTCAGAGGCAAATCTCTTAACCATTCAGACATCTGAACCATTAAGAGGCTGAAACAAATAGTCTGAACCATTAAGTGCTAAACCATTGAGACATCTGAACCATTAAGAGGCCGAAACAAACAGCCCCTAAGACTTTTTCCTTAGTTCACTTTTTTAAATTCCCTTCATCCTAATTTAAATCACCTGTTTCTATTTACGATGTTTGACTTAAGTTATTTTTAATTCGTGTTATTTGAAAATCAGAGTTGAATTAAAAAGCTAAAATACATATTTACAAACTAACCAAAAGTTCTATGAAACAAAAGATGAGATGACTATATTATTTTATCAAATAAGTAGGAAAAATAAGTAAAGAAAATGAATAAATTTGATGTTGTAATTAGCGACGGAAAGAATAATTGTGATATGTGTATTCATTGGAGAATGGGTTAAAAACCATTTAGGTGTCATAATATGATACACGTCTAATTGAAAGCCTTACAAAGTTCTGTTTGAAAAAAGATATGATACACGTCTAATTGAAAGCCTTACAAAGTTCTGTTTGAAAAAAGATAGTTCAATCTCATTAAACGATTTAAACCGTGACAAACCCCAACTACGGTTAGGGGTGAACAAGTATCGAATCGATCCTGAAATTTTCTAAAAAACAAGAATTTTAAATAGAAAATACCGAACTGAAAAAATACACAAAAGAAAAAAACGAAGATCAGTCGGTACAATATTTGGGAACGAAGATAACTTCTCATACCGAAAATCTCGAACCAAACATATATACTAATATATTATAAAAAAATATTTTTATATTTGTTCATTAAATGATAAAATTATTTTGAATATTTGTTTCAAGTTTTATTATTCGTTTGTAAAATACCTAATCATTCATTTTTTAAGTTTGTAAAATATAAACTATGAAGTGAGTTTTAATTATTATTTCTTAATTTAATTATTCATTTTTTACTTTTTTTATATTCTTTATTTAAATGTGATTTTTTAAAAATAAAGGAATTTTTTACTTTTTAAAGTGTTATCTATTTACCGAAACTGATACCGAACTATACCGTAACGATATTTCGAGATCGAGACTGATACGATGTAATATTTTATATCGAACTAAAATATTCTTATACGATATCAGTACAAGCTAAATATCGTACTACCTCCCTCAATTCCAGCCCAAAATTTATTGATTATCCTATCAAAAATGTGTTAGAGCAACTCCAGGGGAAAATGAGTATATGAGAGGGTAAGGAGTAATAATTGTGATGTATACCTCTTTTTAACAAAAATTCATTTTTCAAAGGGAGAGGTAAATAAAAAGGCATTATACCTTCATCAATTTTGAAAAGGTATCTTTATGTTCCTCAATTTGGGGAGGTATATCACTTTTTCCCACTTTTTTTAAATTTTTTTATCAATTACTTTAGTTATTGTATTTTTTTGTATTTTTGCTTGAATGTGTTATTAGAAATTTTTAATTCGTATCTTTGTAATGGTAAAACTTAACGGGTCAAGAATTAATAAAAGAGGATAATTTCTTTTTTAATTGTGTACTCTGTATTTTTTAAATTTTTTCTACTCGGATATTTATAATTTTATTTGTGCAATTGGTCATAAAGTATATTTATTTATTTGACAATTGACATTCTAATTTTTTTCCAATAAATTAATAGGATTTTCATAATATATTTGAATTAAAAAAATTAATCCAGAAGAAACAAAAGGAATAAATCTCAATTTTACCTCTCCATCTACTCTCTTTCCTTGGAACTTTTTACTTTTTAAGAAATGCACAATATAATTTATTAAGGAGTTTCTTAGGGAAAAATTCGTCTACACTCTTCGGTCCTCGGGCTTTGGAAAAACCCTTTGTCAATTGTGAGGCTGTGTAAGTTGAAGTTGTTTGCTCAATCATCGCCCCTTCAGTTCTGCAAAGAAGAGAGAAAAATGGTGAGGCTAACGGCGGACTTGATCTGGAAAAGCCCTCATTTTTTCAACGCTATTCGCGAGCGCGAGCTGGATCTCCGAGGTTCTTCCTTCTTTCATAAACCCTAACTGTAACTTCATGAAAAATCCATGAACAGATCCTTTTTTTCTGTGTGGTAACATGTATCTACATCCTATTTCTTGTTTTTCTATGTATGTTCTTTTATTCGCTCGTAGGAAACAAGATTCCGGTTGTAGAGAACTTGGGTGCTACTGAGGTGAGCTCCCCCTCTTTGTTTTCTCTCTTAAAAGAGGTGAAGTTTTCACGATTCTTTATGAATATTGGAAGTTTAAGCGTGGTGTTATTGGTTGAGTGCAGGATCAATTTGACACCATTGACTTGTCAGACAATGAGATTGTTAAGCTTGAGAATTTTCCATACCTTAACAGGCTTGGGACACTGTTGATGAACAACAATAGAATTACCCGAATTAACCCGAAGATCGGAGGTGAGGTTGTTTTAGCATTTTGCTCCTAGAGTTGGATTTGAGTGTTGAAGATCTTTACTGAGTATGGTTTCTTGCAGAGTTCTTGCCGAAACTGCACACCTTGGTCCTTACTAACAACAGGCTCACTAATTTGTCCGAAATTGATCCACTTGCATCACTTCCGAAGTTGCACTTCCTTAGTCTTATCGACAATAACATCACGAAGAAACCCAATTATCGCTTGTATGTCATCCACAAGTTGAAGTCTTTGAGGTTGCTGGATTTTAGGAAAGTGAAACAAAGGGTCAGTCACTTCAATATCTTTTTCCATGTGGTCTAAGTTTTTTAAATGATTTAGTTACTTTCAATTTATTGTTTCTATTGTTGGGGATCTGTTTGTGTTCTTTGATATTTGAAGGATTTACACTTTTTTAGCATGTAGAATGTGCTGTCATTTGGATTTAAATTATGTAATTTGGTACTAACATTCTTTTGGGGTTTACCCTGATCTGGGAGCACATTGACACTTATTTTAATAATCCAATATGTCAATTTTTTTCTTGAAAAATTGGAATTGTCTTCTGGTAATGTAGGAGCGATTGGAGGCAAATAATCTATTTGCATCGCAAGGTGCTGAAGAACAGGCTAAGGAGGCATCTGTGAAGACAATTGTACCTACTGAGGTTCCAGCCCCTGAGGTGCCAAATGAAAATCAAGCACCAAAGCCAACTGCACCCACACCGGAGCAAATTATTGCTATTAAGGTGCACACTTAACACTTCTGCATTTTTTTTGCCGATTCTAATTGAAATTCATGCAAGACAATTCAAGTAAGTTGCAGAGGGTTAATGTTCTATAATATGCTTCTACTCTGGGATGCACAATTTTTGAGGCTGTTTCGAAGTTGCATCAATATCCCTTCTCCCTACCTGAAAAAAAGTTCTTAATGAGAATATATTTTTTGAAAATCTTACTACAACTTTCACTATGTTTGGTACAAGAAATTTGAAAGGGAAAAGAAATTAAAATGATGCAGAAAATAATTTTCCTTGTTTGGTTAGAGAGGTCAAGAAAAGAAAAGCAGAAGAAAAAGAAAATGAGAAGCAAAAATGAACTAAGAAGATGGAAAACTAAATTCCTCCCATTTTGGTGAGAAGAAGGAGAGAAAGCTTTTTCTTTTCCTTTCTTTCCTAATTCTCTGAACCAAACATAGTGTTAATGCTCAGTAATTTTTCCTTCTGTTGTATCATGTTGTGTCTTTCTTTAAAATGATACTTCTACCACTTTGATGAATAACTAAGTACTTCATTTGCAGGCTGCCATTGTAAATTCGCAAACTCTTGAAGAGGTTTCTAGGCTTGAACAGGTGCTTACTCACATATTTAATTTTCCCAGATTTATGTTGTGTGCTATATATATTTCTGAAAATGCACTAATCATTTAAAACTCATGCAGGCCTTGAAGTCTGGCCAGATTCCTAAAGATCTGCTCATTGGGGATGGTGATGTTGGGTCTAAGAAGGATGATACTGAAGAAGACAAAATGATTACAGATGGTGAGAGTCAAGCTAACAATGAACGAGATACCATAGATGATGTGGTCACTGAACAAAAAGATGACGGACCTACAGAAATGGAGCAGGTACTTTTTAATACAATAATCAGAATTGAATCTGATTATCTGAACATTTAGTTAAGTTTTTGTAGTAATCCATTCGCGGTAATTAGTATGGTATTTTTGTTTTGTTTCGCCTGTGTTATTCACTTAGCGTTAAGGTGATTATTCCTAAAAAATTGTCGCATAGAAGTCTTATCTTGGAACCATTATCAGACCCTACGTCTGTGGGATTCTACTTGGTTGTTGTCATATGTTGTGTCCGGCAATTATCTGCGCATTCATGATTTCATCTTCTGATCTGATTTAAAATAATGTGAATGTTTCAGGAATAGGCGTTCTATTTTTTGGTTGCCGTTTTTTCGGTGACAATTTCACCCTTCGCTGTTGCCGACAAGTCTTTGAAGCTAACGGGTGGAATCTGCAGATGTGGTGCTTAGCTTTTCTAACAAATGTGGATTTGTTAAAGACTGGGTATAGCTGAAGCTACTTTTGTTTGTTGTACTGTTAAGACACGGCCTTTTCTTTCATGACAACTACATGAGTAGCAAGAGAGTTTCATCCAATCCATTGCTCATGTTATCATCTGATGGTTGCTTAGCATTTAGCAAGATTGTATCTTTACTTTATACAATTATCTGCAGAAAAGGTATGAATGAAGTCATTTTTAGTTAGGTTGGGATAACTCTGTTTATGTCTTCTGTAGATAGAAGACGGAGATTGAGTGTTGCTAGGGCTATAACGTCCAAAAATGTTTTTTTTAATTATTTTTTGTTGAGAAGAGAGACTGATCTCTTCTTTTTTTTTAAATAAAAATTTTTCAAAACTCTGTCTATTTTATTACTGTATTTATCTAATGATTACAGAATATAAATCCATTGCTCTCTCAATTAATTTTGCTCTTTCACAGATAAATTTCATGCTTCTTTTAATTAAAGGAATAAGTAGTTTAAACCAGTTACCCCTTTTTTTTATCAAGAGGGAGAGGGGAGACCCTAATATAAGTCGTTAATGTGAGTATTTGTGTTCACCTTACGAACTCTGGTGACTTCATTCATGTCTTCGGAAATGATATCCTCCACCTTGGGCGGGGATCCTCTTGCTTGATCCAATTTGCATGTTGAGAGGCTCCAATGCTGGCAAGGTGGTCAACTGCAAAGTTCTGTTCACGAAAGATGTTCTTGACTTGATCCTTGTATACTTCTTTTTCCACTCCTTAATAACATCAATGATATTGCGTGTAGGGCCTCTAAGAGAATTATGTTCGGCCATCCACATTACAACCATGCCTGCATCTGTCTCAATCTCAAGCTCTCGAATGCCCTTTTCCCAGGCCCATTGAATGCCTGAAGCGATGGTCATTGCTTCCACCGTCACCACGATTTTTGGACTAACCTTGGCTGAAAAACCACCTTTCCACTCACCTTTCTTATTTCGGAGAACCTCACCAATACCTGCTTTGTTGATTGACGCTTTGTAGCTCCCGTCAACATTGAGAGTCCAATCACAATTGTGAGACATCGTCCACCTAAACGAACGATCAGTGGATTTGTGAGTATTAATTACCAAACGTTGCCTCATAAAGTCATTGTTAGTATCTCTAACTATCTCTGTGATCCAATCGAGTTTTGGTTTGTCGTCTGGTTCCTCGCCACCAAACGTCTTAGCGTTTCTCCATTGCCAAATCCACCAGCAAGTAGTGTCGAAAATGATGCCCCAGTCATCGTCAATGTTGCTATTTCTCTTTTGCAAAACATTTATGTAGATCCAATTCTTCACGCCACCAGCGCAGAAAGTGTTCACGTTGCCTCCAATATTGTTCCAGACAAGTCTACCCTTGAAGCACGTCCTAAAAATGTTGTCAGTTGTCTCTTCATGTCCGCTACAAATTGGACAATTACCATCCACCGTCGTTCAGCATTTCCCAACACTTTGTCGTGACTCATGGTCCATAACAAGAGTTTGAACTTGCTCGGGACCTTGAGTTTCCAAATTATTGCCCAGCTTTTTTCTTACATATGAGAGTTGAAGTCCCTGATCATGCTATACGCTAAAGTAATAAAGAACTTGCCTAAAGATTCATGCTTCCAATATATTTTGTATGGTTCTCGTGATTGTGTCTTTAGCATCGGCAAATGTAAATGAGAGATCGATGATACTTGCTAGTAGATTGGGAGATGGTCCCATTTCCACCCGGTTGTGTTATCCCACATATTGGGGACAGTTGCATGCATGTTATGTAACATCCTCGTGTCCTGAATAATAAATATTCATTTTTTTTAATTTTTCATGTTTTTTATTTAAATTCACTTTTAATTTTCAAAAATAAAATGGTATTGTTAAATTTTTAACGTGTAAAGTATGTATGTATCTTCATCCCGATATGTACCGAAACCGACACCGAACCATCCCGAACCATACCGAACCGATACTTCGGGATCGGGATCGGTACGGAGTAAAATCCCATACCGAACCGAAATATTTGGTACGGTATCGGTACAAGCTAAATACCGTACCATGCTCACCCCTAGTCGATAACGATGACCTCGTCTTCCTCCTTATCAAAGATGAAATCACCGTCATCAACTCCAACATCTTCAAATTGTGTCTCCAGAATAATGGATTTGAAGCGTAAATCGTACGAATCCATTGCGGATCTAGGAGACGAAGAAGTGATGTAGGGTTTGGGAAGGAACTGAAGAGTTTAGATCGGATAAGATAGGGAGCAGAGAGGAGTGACTGAGGATGGTTGAGTAAAGCGATAGAATAAATGATGGGGAGAAGTGTAGTTAGGAATAATGGGTGAGATTTAATGAAAGGGGTATTTTTGGCAGAGTGGGTATGAAAAAGTTGAATGAGAAAATGTTTTTTGGGCGGGAAAAAATGTAGAGTGGGAAGATTATTCTTGGACGGAGGGAGTAATTTGGAATAGTCTGATCCCACCATATTTTTATACTCGTATTCCTGTTTGAAATTGGCATTATCATCGCCATTTTCCTATCATCTGCGTTGTGTGAATCTTCAACATCACCATCTTCTTCAATCGGTCGTGCGAACAAAGGGGATGAATGGAGTTTCTCCGGAAAACCCTGCCTTTATATGATCCGAAGTTCTCCTTCGATTTAAGCAGGTGAGCGGTGGTATCTCTCGTTAGAATTGATTCGTAGATTAGGATTCATTGATATATCTTCGTTCGAATAACGTTGAATTCGTGATTATGATTATTAGATTGTATGATTGGTTGTGTTAGAAATTGAAATTGAGGGTGCAAATCTAGAAATCGGTTGCTTTGAACTTCAACACATGCTTGCCATGTTCTTTTGTTCGTTTTTGCTATGTTCCTGTTGGTTTCTATACTGCCCACGCCTTGTTTGTTTCTTCCCCTCCTCTTGTTCTAATATGAAACCAAGCCTTGTCACTCCCATGAGCCACTACCATCCGTCGGGTTGGCTTGCATGGTGTGAAGGAATCTGTTGGGCTGTCAGTCGTTTTCTAGTTGAGCATTGAAGTTGGGTTTTTAAATTATAATTGGGCCATGTAGTTAAATTGTTTGCTATTTTAGTCCTTCTCTGCATAAACAATTCAAAATTTAAATAATCACCATAAGTTAATCCAAATTTACTAAATTGATAACTTGGAGAGAATTGCAATATATATTGAACAAAAATTGTGAAATAGGTCACCTAGTAGACCTATGTAAATCTGAGTTGTTACAAATACTAAAATCACCTATAGGGTTAAGGATTGGAACTTAAGGTCATGCAAGTGTCGGCGTACATCTGATGGTCTCCAGAGTTAAAGCGTACGTACGGGAGTCCACGACCTACCTTGGCACCTCTGTGATAGGGGCTCTAACTCGCCCAATTGAACACCTTCCATTGGGATTACAAGCTTGGCCTTTTGGAACCTCCTGGAGGGTCCATGACTAGTATACTTAGTTAGACCTTAGTTGAGTATGTTATCTATGATAAGATTATGCATGGATTTGAAACGAACGAAGGAGCGTATGAACGAACAATTGATTATACTATTTGATAATTGTATTTTCTGATTATTCTGATATTATATGATTATATGTTAATGGATGCAACTCTATGAGTTTTTTCTAGCGTTAAATACTTCCAGGCTCCCTATTATTTTTACACGTAGGGGTCAGGGATTTGATGTGCACCCTCGAGGACAGTGAAGCGTGATGCTGGTAGAGTGGTAGATGGCCCGAAGCTGTTATGGAATTGAACTAAATGCTTGTTGACTTTATTTTATTTAAACTACGAGAATATCTTGATGATGTTATTTCAAAGGCTTTCGCAACGTTTGTTTTATTTACTCCAACTAAACTATGATTTGTTCTTAAATAAATATGATTAATTTTTTTATTTTTAAGTTTTTTAGAAGGACAAGCCTTTCAGGTTGTTTCATGTAAATCACTTGTTCTAATTCACCATTTACGAATGATATTTTCACATCCATTTGGTGAATGACAAGGTTATGTATAGCGGCTAGGGCAATCAATAACTTAATGGTCGAAATTCTTACAATGGGGGCATAAGTGTCAAAGTAGTCAATTTCCTATCTTTGTCTAAAGCCTTGAATAACCAACCTAGCTTTAAACTTATCAATGGAACCGTCTACTTTCATCTTCTTCTTGAATATCCATTTGCCACCTAAAGGTTTGCACCCAGGAGGCAAGTCTGTTAATTTCCAAGTCTTGTTGTGTAAGATGGAGTCCATCTCATCTTGAATGGCTTCTTTCTACAAAGCCACATTTTTTGAAGCCATAGCTTCACTATATATTCTAGGATCTGCCTCAAAATTATAACAATATTGAAAATTCGAGCCAAAGTTTTTGGCAGTTCTACATCTTTTGCTTTTCCTAACTTCCGTAGGAATCAATGCTTCATTACTAGGAACTAAGTCACTACAAGAAGCATCTTCATTTGGCATGAGAGAATTACCTAGAGCCATGTCTTCTGGTCTAGATATTGATGAGAACCTATTCTCATGAAAGATTGCATCTATTGACTCTATGACGGGATTAACACCAACCGACTCATTAGGTTCAATGACATAGAACCTATACGACTTGGAATGCATGACATATCCAATGAAAATTCAATCAATACCTTTTTCATCTAAAGTTTTCTTTTTAGGTTCCGGGAGTCTCACAACAGCCTTACGACCCCAAACATTCAAATAATGAAATTTTTGTTGATTCTTTGAATTCACTTCAATGTTATATTTTTAAATGAGTTTATGAAAATATATGTAATGCAAATAATTTATCATTCAATATTTAGAAATGAAAATGCTTATATCTAAATTTAAAAGTAAACATCTCAATGTCTTTTTTAAATCCATATTTTTTAAAAGCCTTCAGGGGATACAATATTTTTGGTGTGGTTGCAATGATTTTCATTATCATTTAGAACCAATATTTTTAACCATGTTTTGGTTTTTCACTCATGAAACAACAATATAAAGTTGATCGTGAGTGAACTTTTACCCGATTAAAAATAATTTAACAAATGACAATGATTGACATTGACTTTTATTCATAATAATATAAAAATATAAAGCGTTCATCATCGTATATTTTCCTCTTGTCTTCATTCATTGTAGATATATATTGTTTAAGATCATATGACAATTTTTCCCTGTCATAGTTCAATCCTTCTACCAATAAATTATTCTGAAATCTATTAAGTGGATTGTCATCTCAGAATGGCATACACCAAACTCATATAAGGATCATCTATTTGAATTAAGTAACTTTTCAATCTCAAACAAACACAAACTCTTTAGATCTTCTGGGAAAATAATAAGTTCTATAAAATGGCTAAAATACAACTAAATTATTTCACCTAAAGTTTTCCTTCTAGGTTTCGGGAGTCTCACAACAACCCTACAACCCCAAACATTCAAATAATTCAAATTAGGTGGCTTGCAATACGAAAGTTCATAAGGGGTAAGTTTTTTCCTTTTATTAGGAACCCTATTTAATAAATAACAGGCTGTTAACATTGCCTCTCCCCAAAATCCTTCACTCAATCGCAAGTAAGATAACATAAAAATTACCATTTCTTTTAAAGTCATATTATATTATTTCGCTTGGCTACATCATTTTATTGTGGTGTATAGGGAGCATTGATTTCACGATTATGCCAAGAGATTGAAAATAAATCGGAGCAAAATATTCACCTCCCCTATCAGGGCAAAGAGTCTTAACCAAGTCATTTTTATGCAATTCTACCTTAGTTTTGTATATTTTAAATGCTTTTAATGATTGATTCTTAGCATGCAAAAGATAGACATAGCAAAACCTTGAGGAATCATCTATAAATGTGATCATATATTTCTTGTTTCCTATAGATGGAGTTGCATGAAAATTTTGTAAGACACTATGTACTAGTTCAAGAATTTTAGAATACCTTTTGATTTCCTTAAGGTGGTGTTTGGCAACTAGCATTTCATTTCAATTCATGCATTTCAATTCTAAAATTTGAAATCCAGAATTTCAAATGACAAGGGGAGGTGCATGGATTTCAAATTAAGCTTTGTTTTGAATGTAAAGAATTTGATTCAAATCCAAATTCAAAATGCTTAAGTTTCCCAAACATGAAATTTAAATCAAATCCGAATTTGAAATCCAAATCCATGTTCCCAAACATACCATAAAAGGTTTTCTAGTAATCTTGGTTAGCATATATGTCTTACATCAATCCTTTCGATTTATGTCAAAGGCAAGAACTAAGTTACTTTTCGACATATCTTGTAGTCTTTTATAATGCACATGACCGAAACAAGTGGGGGTGGGAACGGATCGGGACGGTCCGGGTTTAAGGAATCCCACGTCTTGTCCTGTTATATATAAATGGTCCGGAACGGTTCGGATTACAATCTTATCCCGGTTTGTCCCATAAAATTCAGGACCGGAATAAACTGGGACAAATTCGGGTCGTCCTATTTTGTCCTAATCGCAAATATAAGAAGGGGGAAAGGGTGACATATCATTCAAAAAAAAGAAACATCTAGTCATCCAATAAAAACAATGAGTGGTAGGGGTCCAAATAAATTTCAAGCCTATGATCTGAACTTATTTAAATAACTAATTAATTAAAGAATGAGTGTATATGGATTTTGAACTAGAATTAGTATTATATATTAGTAGAGTAGATGAAATGTGACAAACGGGACAAATCGGTATAAATTTAAGCTGTCCCGCTCATGTCCCATTTGATATTGGGACGGAACGAGTTCAGGATAAAAAAAAGTGTCCCAATATATCAGTACAATTACAAAACAGATCCAAGATTATTCGGAATGGTCCAAAATTAACGGATTTCACGCCCACCCCTAGAAACAAGCATGCCATAAAACTGATCTGTTCAAGACATCACATGTAGCCATACAAACATCATTCATACGAAAAGGAACATTCAAGCTTAACTTAAACAGGACATTGCATAAGTAACCAAAACAAGCCTTTGACTTCTATGTTCATCCATACCCAAGCGTCTATATTTATAGAGACGAGGAATCATCGACCAGACATGATCGTTTGCGTAAATTTGTAAACTTTCGCGCTATAGGGATAGGCGCAAACGTTCACACAAGTATGATGTTTTGGGTGCAAACATTCACAAAATTTTGGTCAAATTTGATGTTTATCTGAAGTCCAAGATTTTCTAATTTTTGGACTCTGTTCATGAAAATCTAAAGGATTTTCATAAATTAATCATGTCCAAATTCAAAGGATTTTTGTCCCTGGCCGGGGGCTCTACCCCTTGGATCCCGCTATCTGGGGTTGCCACCCCCGGACTACGCCATGAATTTGTAAAATCGTTGAACGAGTGTGCACTCCGCACCTTCTAAGTCGTTAGACAACATCTATTCAAATTCTTCTATGATTTAAGTAAGTCCAACTAACAAAATAGTCGATGACACTAAAATTATCAACCATTGATTCTAGTAAGAATAGCCTTTACCGTAAGAAATGAGAATGATTTTTTTCCTTCAAAATACATTTTTTGAATAATGTAGCCCATTTTTTAAATGGCATAAAAGTACACTTATAAGCAATTTTTAACTTTTAAATTCCTTATAAGTTAAATTTTTTTTCGTGTAGATAAAATAACTTAAATGATATGTAAGTCATTTGGAGATATTCATAATAAGTGAGAGATAGTCTTGTAAATAATCTGGTCAAAACAGAGAAATGAAAAAAATTGACTTAAAAATAAGTAAAACCTACTTATTTTTTTCTAGCTTATAAGCATAGAGAAACGTCTTATCTATTGACTTATAAGTTAAAAATAACTTATAAGCAGTTTTGACCACCTTATAAACACAGAAAAACGCCCACTCACTTGTTTAAAAGTATGTCAGTGCAATTTTTTTTTCCCTTGATTTTCACTTATTTGCAACTCTTAGATCTTAAATCCAAATGACAATATGCATTCTCATTTCTTTCATGGAGCATCATTCTCATTAAATCATACTATGTCAGTTCCGGTGCATTCCTCTACTTTGACTTTTTTGAATTAAACTAGACAAATTTGTATCTCAATTAAATAGTAATGGTAAGGTGTACTAGTATAAAAGTAATGGAGTACTTCATTAGATTTATTATGATGAAAAATTTTAAAATTTTATTTTATTAATATGTGATACAAATTGAGTGTGATTCGTGATTAAAGTTTGTCCAGTTTAACTCTAAAAAGACAAAGTAGATGAATACACTGAAATAGAAAAATTATATATATTTATATAGGATTCGGTTTCAGTGAGAATGATTCACAACAGAAGAAATAAGAATGAATTTATATTATGCATTGGATCGGATGGATCGTGCGGCCATTTAAAATAGACGAATCCAATACTCCCCAAAATTTTAAAAAGAAATCAATCATTATAAGTCATCCCATGAAATTAGGATCAAATTTGGTATGAAAGGCATGAAAGTAACATATAGATCTTCTCATTAATCTTTTTTATTTCTCTATCATAAATCTTCTCATTAGTTTTTTAACATTTAAAATACAACAAATATTCCCACTTTTTTTATTACACCTCACCCTCCTCATTTAATACACTCCACCCATTTTTGTTAAAGATATTTTGGTAAACTTTCACCTTTTTTCAACTTTCTTTAAAAACTTTAAAAAATCAAAACTAGAAGATCTTAGGGGGGCGGAGGACTATTAGAATGCGGGAAGTGCTCGAGTCATAACCAAAAATCACACAAGTTTCACAAACTTATCGTTTTTTAATTTGAATTTACACTTAAATTATTTGATACCATTTGGCTCTTTAATAAATTTCATATGTAACAAGTTTGTACGATTTGTGTCACTTTTGTTTGTGACTCTATAATTTTTGTTAGAAGGCCTAACGAAACGTGGTGAGACCCACATCCCAGATTTCCACCCTTTTAGCTAAAATGTTTCATAATTGATCGAGTGCGGAGATTAAGCAACCTGAGATTGTGTGATTTACAATGTCCTTGTTTAAAATGTAAAATACTAAAGAAAAATGTTTGGTGCCTCATTTCCATGGATTGTTCCAAAACGCGAACCACCTCGGCCATAATGACAGTTTTATATACTTGCCAGTTTTATCTGTACATAAAAGAATCATATCTACCTGATTACATACATACACAGACCTAGTTTATATATATACACTTGCAATCCTAAACCACTGAATTAGCCATTAGGTGTTTCCGACATATTGACCGTACGGTTTGACCGATAGGTGACTACTGGATTACCCGAACCATCCAAGTGGACTACAGCAACGTCTCCGGGCTTGCAATCCCCAAAAGAGAGCAGAGATTCACTCAGCCGATCTTCAATAATGCTAGTGAGTGCCCTCCTGAGCGGGCGAGCTCCGTACTGTTTGTCAAATCCTTGTCTGCAGATCAGTTCCTTAACTGATTCTGACACTTCCAGCTCAATTCCCATGGAAACAAAAAGCCTGGTTTTCAACTCTTCTAGCATAATTTGCAGTACCTCAAGCATCTGAAATGGAAGAAGATGACAGGTCATTACTTGTTATCAAGACTCAAGAGGGGGGGGGGGGGAAGAAGGTTCAGATGGTTCCGAAACAAACCTGAGGCTTTTCAAGAGCACGGAATACGACTACTTCGTCTAATCGGTTCAACAACTCGGGTCGGAAGTAGGCCTTCAGCTCTTCAATCACCATAGCTTTCATTCCAGAATACGAGGCTGTTGCCGACTCACCATCATCTGGAATCAAGAAACCAATGGTGTTCTGTCTCCCCTTCACAATAGCAGCAGAACCAATATTGGAAGTCATCACTATCAATGAATTCTTAAACGACACCCGATGTCCCTGTTGATAAAGAGTTTCTCAAGATGATTCACATAAACCCCGTAGATCAGAACATTGAGCATTAGAATATGTAGAAGAAAAGGGTTGGGTAAACTGTGATACAAAACCTGAGAATCAGTGAGGTGTCCGTCTTCGAATAGCTGAAGGAGAAGATTGAATATATCAGGATGTGCCTTTTCTATCTCATCGAGTAGCACAACTGTGAAAGGTTTTCTTCTGATGGCTTCAGTCAAAACGCTTCCTTCTCCATATCCCACATAACCAGGGGGTGACCCGATTAACTTGCTTATGGCATGCCGTTCCATGTATTCGCTCATGTCCAATCTTAGCATTGCAGACTCCTAATGAAGGGTGTAAAACATAATGAATAATCTACAAGTTGACTAAATAGTACGTTATCTATTTCTAGAAACGAAAAAACACATTTGGTAAGAGTCATACTGAACCAAAATAAGTTGCCGCCAATGCTTTTGCAAGTTCACTTTTGCCGACTCCAGTAGGGCCACAGAAGAGCATCGCAGCAATGGGCCTCTTTGGGTCCTTAAGCCCAACTCGGGATCGCTTAACAGCCCGATGAATGGCACTAATAGCTTCATCCTGACCAACAACCCTCTTCTTGAGTTGTTCATCAAGACTCATTAGAAACATTCTTTCGTCAACGCTGAGCTGCTGAAGGGGAATCCCAGACCACAGTGAAGCTACAGCAGCTATTTCCTCAGGTCCAACTACAGGTCTGGTGGAAAATCAAAGAACAAAAAAGAGGACTTCTGACTTCAATCAAAACATGGTTTTTGGTGATGCAAACAAGATACTTCTCTCCTATATAAACTCACACCAGACTTACTCATCATCTTTAGTTGCAGAGGTCATAGAGTGTTCCATTTTGAATTCATTATCCCCTTCCAACTGAGATGCACTTTCATGTCTGCTGAGTTTATTCGTCAGCATCTGATGATAACCCACACCACCCACACCACACAGTTCATAGAAGTGAGAAGGTAAATCTATATTACAAATTACTTGTCAGAGCTAGTGATTGCGCTACCATTTCATGCATTGCCTGAACAGATCTAATTTCTTGCCAGTAATCACTTGGTGACTTTGAGAGTATGGAAGTCCGCTGTTCCTTTTTTCTTTTATGAGCTTCCATTCTGGCTTTGCTCCCAGCCTCATCAACAAGATCAATAGCTTTGTCCGGAAGATACCTATCAGGAATGTATCTAACTGACAGTTGCACAGCTGCTGTTATGGCTTCATATGTATATTTACACTTGTGATGAGCCTCATACTTCTCGCGCAGCCCTAGCAATATCTGGACAGCATCCTCCTATCCACAATCCAAAGGTTAGTTTGGGTAACACCCATAGAAGACAATACACAAACAAACTGGAAATCTTATACAGTAGTAGTTTATTCACCTGGCTGGGTTCCTGAATCATTACAGGTTGGAACCTACGAGCAAGGGCTTTGTCCTTTTCAAAGACTAATCGATATTCATCTATAGTTGTAGATGCAATGCACTGTGATATACAATAATATACATAAGCACTTCCGGCAGAGTTAGGTAATAATAATAATACCTTCAAAAAAAGTAATAATAATAATAATGAATAATAATAATAATACAAGTTTTTCCATCATTATCATACAACAGTGCATGATCACCTGTAATTCACCGCGCCCAAGTGGTGGCTTTAACAGATTAGATATGTCAAGTCCACCTTTGCCTCCTTGCCCGACCACGCCGGAACCAACAAGGGTATGGACCTCATCAATAAAAAGAATGATATTTCCTGCAATGCAGATTTATATCATGGATAAGGGATTATCAATGTCTTCAACCCCAAGAATCATTCAAATAGCTCTGCTTACCTGACTTCTTAACCTCTTTGATTAATGTAGTCACGCGAGCCTCCAACTCACCTCTCTCCTTTGTGCCTGCGATCAATAGGCCAATGTCCAAAGACATTACGCACTTTTTCTGTGTATTAAGAAAACTATTTCAAATCAAGTTACATGCTTACTAGCAAGTAGCAACTATTGAAAAAGAAAGGAATAGAGCTATGCAGACTATGCTCCAGACTGCTTAAAAAAATATGCAAGATTAAAAAAAGACTGCATCCACATATGAAAAACTCACCATCAAGAAAGAAGGAACATTCCCTTCTGCAATATTTATTGCTAGTCCTTCAGCAATTGCTGTTTTTCCAACCCCAGCTTGGCCAAGAAGAATTGGATTGTTTTTGGTTCTCCGGCAGAGTATTTGAACAACTCTATGAATCTCAGTGCCTCGGCCAATTACAGGGTCAATGAGTCCTTGGCTAGCACGGAGAGACAGATTCACACAGAATTTTTCCAGTGCACATTTCTCTGCATGAGTGGCTTGGAGTTATTTTTAACTTTTAAGACATCGCCAAAGAAGAAATAGAAAAGGAAGAGAAAATAGGCAGAGTACTTGTTATCTTACCAGATCTGTCAACAATTACTTTCCTATAAAATGGTTTGTCACGCAATCTATTGAGTGAAGCAGAAGGCTCCCTGCCGTCCTTTGCAAGCTCCCCTTGAAGTCTGGAGACGGCAACAGCTGCCAAATGATTTGCATTTGCCCCTAATCTGATGTCACGTCAGTCAAACCCCAAAGAGGAAATCTTTCATGTGTCTAAAATTCTAAATTACAATTCCTAAACCTCAAATTATGTCTCATAGATGCTCGGAAACATAATCATTTGTGATATAATTTTAGGTGCCAACAGGTTCAAAGCACATCAATGTGAGAAAAATGGATGACTTTTCAAGAAATTGAAAATAAAGCCACAAAATGCTGCACTGGAATACTACAGATGAACTCTATTTGACTGTGTCCTAAATGGCAATTGTATGCTGGGCTTGCCCAACCCATAGCCAATCAGCTCTAACCGTAAATGTCTAAAGCATTTAAATTTTCCACTAACACCAATATTGTTATAAGCACTAGATGCATTTGCAGTTCCTACTTCCTACTATGACTTAGTCCTTAAGAACAACACCATGAAAACTATAACTTTGTCCCAAAGATTTTTAATCCCAAAATTCACATTAAGAAACCCTACCGAGAAATTCAAATTTGACATTTCCGAATGATCCACAAAAACTTTCATTAACTCATTTCAGTTGGGAATGTCTCTTGAATAACAGTAACTACATGAATTCCCAAAATGTCCCCATGTATGTAAACTTAACTCATTTATAAACACGTGCAAAATGTTGCACATTATCTAATATTCAGAAGTTCATCAGAAAATCCAGTCATATACACAAACTATTCATGATACAGAAAACATATTTGTGAACTAAGAGTACTTCGTAAATCCTATTTCACGAAGATACAACCTTTTAGTTTTAATAGGGTTTGACTATTGAAAATCATAAACTGCAGTTACATACTCCCTCCATCCTATAATGTTCTTCCCGGTTTTGTTTACGAAGTTTGACCGACTTTATTTTTAATTTAATTTATTTGATTGTAGGTGTAAAATTAAAAAATAAAAGTTATATATTTAAAAACTACATCAAAAGTTCTACAAAACAAGTGGTGACAAGACTATATTATTTTATCAAATACCTAATGAAAATAGGTAAAGAAAGTGATTAAAGTTTGACCATGTGAATAGTAAGTGGGAAGAACATTTCAGGACGGAGGGAGTATTAAAATTCATTTGTTGGTTTTACTAAATCTAATATGGTTAACTTGCTTGAAACACTTGTAAAAGATACATTAAGTGTAATGAACACGAGATTCTTTTCATCTTCATTTTTTGCTCAAATATGAATTTTTTGGGACAAATGTAAGTTTTCAAACCGGGCTATTTTTGGGCATAGGGCATATTAAATAAGTAAATACATATACCTTTTGAGAACACGACCAGCATTACCATCATCAACTAAGAACAAGCCAATGGCAATATGCTCTGGAGCTATAAAATTGTAGCCCATGGTCCTCGAATACTCCACTGCAGCCTCAAACACACGCTTGGAAAGAGTTGAAAATGCCACATCTGTCGCTGAGGTAGCCGAACCAGAATCTGCATACCCATGCTTTACATTCTCACCATCCTTACCATTACCCCAAATGCTCAGAACAGCTTCGCGAGCCTTGTCAATCGTGATGCCGGAACCAAGAAACCCTCCCGGCCCACGATCCTCCGCAATCAGTCCCAACAAAAGATGCTCCGTGAAAACCAAGCCTTTACCCAAAGCCTTTGCTTCCCTCTGAGAGAACACCACTGCTTTGATTGCCCTCTCAGTAAATTTGTCAAACACCCCGCAGACAATACTCAGCGATCTCTTTTTTGCAGGGGGGATCACGGTGCAAGGCCACTGCGAAACCGAAGCTCCAAAGAGGGCCGAGGAAGACGCGCCAGCGCTACATTCCGCTGCCAGGGTGAAATGGGATGGGGAAGAAGGGAAATTCGGGAAAAGAATGCCCGGACTCTTGGGTTTCGGGCGACAGTAAAGGGAAACAGGGCAACGAAAGGGAGGATACGAGATGGAGACATGGGGCTTAACGGAGAAGGGCGAAGAACGTGAAATCTCCATTCAATAGTTCCTAAAACGCTTCAGTAAAAGATACGCACTTGAATTTATAGGAAGAGGGAAATCAAGAAATGTAAATATCAAAGCTAATTGGGGTAGCAAAATTTACCCTTTTTTCTCTTGCACGCCTCACTGCCAGTGCCGGAGTCAGTTTGTCCCTCTCCCTCTCCCTTCCCCCCTCTCGGTAAGGTATGAAGCTTAGAGTGTGTGTATATGGAAGTACGGACAAATTTGTGCTTATTTGCAGGGGGGGAATGATAAGAGGGAGAAGGAGAGCTGGGAAGAAACGCATAAGCGAAAACTACACGTCAATGACAATGGCCGGTGGTCCGGTGAAAGGGTAAAGAAAAGAACAAAAAAATGTTGTCCAATAGAAAAGAATAATGTCTGTAGCAGCTCTATAATACAGCGTTACATTAATATGCACCGTATTATTGTAATGTTGACTCTGTTCTTTAAGACCGGAAAAAAAGAGCTGGATGTTGGAATAAACCGAAACGAACTAGAAAAAACCGGAACGAACTGGAAGACATTGGAAGAAACTGGAAAGACTAGAAGAAACTGGAAGAAATTGGAAAAACTGAAAAAAATTAAAACAAATTGAAAAAATTAGAAAAAATTGAAAAATCTAAGAAAAGTTTTAAAATAAATATTATTTGTGGTTTTATATTATTTTCATTCTGATTCTTGTTGTTATAAATTATTATTATTATTATTATTATTATTATTATTATTATTATTACTCTTATCATCATCATCATCATCATCATCATCATCATCATCATCATTATTATTATTATTATTATTATTATTCTTGTTGTTGTTGTTATTGGTGTTGATGGTTGTGGTAGTGGTGGTGTTATCACGTTATCTTAATAATTGTCTTTAAAATAAAAAAATATTACGAATATTATTTTTCATATATAAAAAGCTAGTTTAAAAAAATAATTAGAATATAAAATTAGCATAAATATTACACTTCTTGGGTCATTTTTTCTTTTTCTAAATGTAGTTTTCTCTTGGTTTTTATAATGTAGTACTTCCCACCACATTCCATATTTTATATTTTAGATTAAAATATTGATGTTTACCTTATATAAATTTAGATTAAAAAATATTCTATATAACTATTTATCCATAATTTTTTAAATAGTTTCCTAATTTTTCATGTAGATTAATATACAAAAAAACGGTATTATTCATATTAAAAAGTTGACAAAATAATAATAATGAATGTGAATCATAAATATAGTGAGATGAAAAAATGAAATAATTTATAAAATATAGTTATGAACATAAAAGTTGTAATTAAAAAAAGTTGTAATAATAATAATAATAATAATAATATTTTAGAGTGATTTGTCAGAAAGTATAAAGAATTTGAAGAAAATAAATATAGTTGGAAGAAATTAGAAGAAACTAGAAAAACTGGAAAAAACTGGAAAAACTGGAAGACACTAGAAGGAACTGGAAAAAACTAAAAAAACTGGAAGAAACTGGAAGAAACTGGAAAAAACTAGAAAGAACTGGAAGGAATTGGAAGAAACTGGAAGTTAAGAGTTCAATCTCTAAAGAATAGGCCCTAAATATATCCTAGATATGTTTTTATACGAAATATTATTATTGAAAAAAGTTTTATAAATTTATTATGTTAAAAAAATTATAATTAAATGTTTAAAACTATTCATCATTTATTTTATTTTATTACTTTTCAAATAAAATCCTTTACATATAAATTTGAGAGTTTGATGCATAAAAGCTTGACATGTGGCACAATATGGGATATACATGTGGAAAAATATGGGACATATTATGTGGCATTTGATTTATGAGCTAGACTCCATTAAATATTATTTGACATGTGATTAAACTTTTATTTTTGATCAAAAATAAAATTATTAAAATAAAATTTTCAATAAATCCTTAATATAAAGTGATCAAACTTCTATCTTTAGAAAGTTCGTGCATTATTTATGTGGCTTTTTACATCTAATATGACACATAATTTAAGACATAAAATATGAAAAACTATTTTAGTATGAAATTATTGAATAAATGTAATTATGAAATATTTATATTCATTTTTATAATAATACTTTTTCATGATTCATTTTTCTTCATTTCTAACAAAATTTTCAATTACTTAATACACTACTCTCTTCGTCTCTAAATAAATTGCACATGATTGTTTCTTTATGATAAGTAGTTTTGAATATATTTCTTTCAATATTGATATGAAATAAAAAAACAAAATATTTTAAAAATTACATTAATCATTTGTATAAAAGAAGATGGTAAGATAAAGATATATAGGATTTTAGAGGCTTTATCATTTAATTGTAAAAATATATTATTTTTATTAGCTTTTAGGATATGATAATTGATTTAAGTAAATTATATTATTTAATTGAATAACATAAAGTTTCATTTTTGTTTGTAATATGATTAAATGAATTATTTTATTTTATTTATTTGAATATATACTTGATAATTGTACAGGCTTTAACTTGATAATTGTAGAGGCTTTATCATTTAATAGGATTTTAGAGGCTTTATCATTTAATTGTAAAAATATATTATTTTTATTAGCTTTTATGATATGATAATTGATTTAATTAAATTATATTATTTAATTGAATAAAGTAAAATTTTATTTTTGTTTGTAATATGATTAAATGAATTAAATTATTTTATTTATTTGAATATAAAAAATAAAATGAAAATAGCTCTAAATTAATACGCAGTATTCTATAAAACAAGAAGTGTCTAGATTATTTGTTAAATGATCAACTGTTTAAATTAAATAAATTTAAATAAATGTTTTCATAGGCTTGAATAGGTTCATGTTCAAACATAAAGAAAAAAATAATTGCATGAGAGTTTGCCAAATATGTTTATAAGTTTCCATTCAGAATTATAAAATTTCTAATATTTTTTGTTTGAATTAATGCATTAGAGAAGAATCATTAAAATTTTAATGTTTATTTAATTTGTTTTTTAAATCATACAATGCATAATTCAAGATTTGACAGCAAAGTGAACCGAGACAAATAATCAATAATGTTATTCAAATTATTCAAACATTCCAATCTTTGTACCACATATGTGTATGGGGGTAAAGAACACTTTCTATTTTTGGATTAAGAATTATATTTTAAGAAATCTCCCTAGATAGAAGTAAAAACAATTATTAAAATACCAAAATATGAGTCTTAAGTCTATTAATTCCAAAATATTAGTATAATGACAGTGTGATGTAAGAGTATACATTGGAGTGTGACGGAAAAGTGATAACAATAAGGCATGTGTTATATAATAAAGAAGCACTATTTTTTAATTTGTAACTTTCCCTTGTTTAATGTATTAACTTTTAGCACGGATATATTAAACATTTACATGCTTTGTGTTAGAATAAGTGCCCTTCACTAGAGGGGGGGTGAATAGTGAGGCACGAGAATGTTTATAAATTTTCGCGGAATAAAAATCACAGGGATAAAGTAAAGAGCGGAATAAAAAGGAGTAAAGGGAGCACACCAAGATTTATACTGGTTCACCACAACGTGTGGCTAGTCCAGTCTCCCGAGAGACTCTCTCGAGCTACACTACTTCCGTTAAGCTTACGGGTGCTTAACAAACCGTTACAACCTGAGAACTCGAGTCCCACGAGCCTCAATACACT